AGAAAGGCACGTCGAATTGGCGCCGCCCATTTTCCGCCCGCCGGGCTGGTCCAGGTTGATCCAGATTGCTTCCCCAATCCTATTCCCCAACTTTCAAGATGAGCCATATGGCAATATAATAAGGGCCTGTGGCACCCAACTTCTACTCCCGTCTGAATTTACCCCCTCCAAGTCGGGATGAATCAGGGGTCGCTCACTTGCACAAAGTGACAAAACACACCTGTGTGCGGTGTGACCCTGCCACTTGTTGGTGATGGATCCGAGGAGGGCCCATCAAGGCAAGCAAGCCCAACCAAGTTCCAGCCTACACTAGGTACAGTAAAGTACCTTTTTCTCGGGGCTAGCCACTCACCAGTCAGGGCAACAGTTCGCTCAGTCTCGACCTATCAGTTGCGGTTGATGTCAGCCTCGAGGACCAAGACGCCTCACCGGGTCAACCGGCTCCTCCCAGCACGGACGGAGGGCTATCCGTTCAGGCATTCGGTTCTCCACGCCAGTCTTGGGATCAAAGGATGAGAAGAAAATAGCAGTATTTCCTCTGTTGCAAAGCGCATCATGTCGAAAGCCAAACTTTGTCCGAGAGCCTTATCCCATCGACCGTTCGAGTTTGGCGTCCGACCCGGAACAGGAAAACGCAAGATGGTCAGGTGCACAACATCGCGGACCCACAAAACACGGGCGTCTTCCCCTTCGTGCAACACTCTGCAGCTAACTAAACTAGTCTCCACTACTTTGACCCGCTGTCGGTTTGCGCGGCTGTGATTCGCTGTGCCGTAGGTCTTTCGCTGGGGATCTGATGGTCCCGACGCCAGCAGAGTGGCTGGTGTGCATGGACGCAGCCCGAGCTTCTTGGGTGAGACACTTAACGACTACTCGAGGCTGGCCTTCTTCAGCGGATTTTATATTGATCGCCGACTGCAGTAGGAATTAGATATGACATCCGGCTATCTGCGAGCTCTACATACATTAGGTCATTTTTTTGGTGCGCAAACATGGGTTAACTGCCAGAGAATCCCTTTTCCCGAAGTCTACGCGCAACAAATCGAAAGTGGCTCGGAAATGGACGACCGGAGTGCGAGGCACAGTAATGTTCAGTAGGTATGGCCTACTATGTAATCGAAAGGAGAGATCGACGTTCTCACGCGCTTTTCTCCCCGTCTGCCTTCCATACATGTCTAGGTAACCACGTTTGTGCAGAGACGAACTGGCAGTTCCTTACAACCTTTACCCACCAGAACAGAATGTGCCAAAATGGGACTCGACCCGGCTTACTACCTTTCCTCCTTTGGACTAAGACAGTCAACCAAACGCGTTCATATGTACATACTCCGGATTGTGAACACCTTTCACCTAGCTTCTCGAGTTCTTCGGACCTCGATGTCTCGATAGCAATCCGTGCCAGCGCGCCGGAGTTGGTTGTTCAACTTTGGCCCACACCCCTGTCAAAGTGAAGACTAGCTCCTGGTTTCCCCAGACCCCCCCCCCCCCAGTGCCGCTGATCGCTCCAAGCCTTTCCTGACCCTTTCCATCCCTGTCCGCCCGCCAGCCAGGCCACGCAAACTCAATCACTTCAATTTTATGTTCCGAGATTCACGCCACGAAGCCCTGCCGAGCACATACTCAGATTGGATACATATACAGGCCGACTTACACTATTTCGTTTAAACAGTGGCCGCCTACAGAGCTGTATCCAGCTGACTTTGTCAGCCGGCGCCGGCTTTCTTCTCTGGCAGAGGTTCTTGAAACACATACAGCACAGACGGATCGTTCCGGATCCTGGCGGTGGTAGAGGAGATTGTCGAGGTGGATAGTGATAGGCTAGTCAAAGTATTGTACATTACAAGCACGATGCATCAAGACTCCGGTTATTAGATGGCTGTCAGGGTCACTGCGTCGACACGGGTAGCGGCGTTCGTGGAGCGGGCTACGAGGCTACTCGCTTCCCTCTCGTCGCCCCCCAAGACACACGATGATGAGCAGACTAGCATGGCATCTCGGCGCACCATAGGTCTGCCACCCCATCTCCTGTACAAGACAGTGTTCCCTGCGATGCCGCGTGGGCGCCCAGCAAAGCCGCCCCGTGATGGAATCTAGATGGTTGTGCAGGACTCTGTCTAGGAACGCCGTAATATCCAGCCGCTGTAGGCACTATGCTGGGGATCCCGCATATGGCTGTTCGGGGACTAGATATTAAACGGGGGTCCTTTGAGAAAGCTATGGTCTCTGTGCTCTGTGCTCTGTGCTCTGGGCTCTGTGCTCTGTGCTCTGGGCTCTGGGCTCTGGGCTCTGGGCTCTGGGACGTAACTACCAGCCTACCTACTTGACCTATATAACCTTGCATCGCAGATGCAGGTGTGGTGGTGGTTGAGTTATTAGTTGCGTGGCGGCGGTAAGTAGCACCACAGCTTGCAGCCAGCAGCCGAGGGCACAGTGCTATGGCAATTCTTCCAGAACATAGACGAATGGCAGCCAGCGGTGCTAAAACGTTGAGCAGAAGGTTCTCGGAACCGATTGGACTCCGACAAAGGTCTCCAATGAAGTGTCCCGCTGTTTTTTTTAGGGCCACAGAAAGATGCCGAATAGCGACGGGACGCCGCCGACACGGGAAACGTTGGGTTCAGTAAGTGAGTGTCCAAACCGACAAGAGAAAGCAATGCAGCTGGTCTCTCGCCACTCACTGCCTACCACCTGGGGATATTTGCTGCATGATGCCGGCTAGCTCATGGCATGGCACACCCTCTTGTCGAGCTACTCTCGCCTCTCTCGACTAGAACTCTAGAGAAGGGGACAACAATGCACATACACAGTAGGTAAGGTAGTGGGCGGTCTGGTAGTACAGTACGGATTTCCCCTGGCTTCGTCCATCCACGCCTCCTGCAACTGGCTCCCAAAGCTGTTGTTCAAGCCGGATTTCACACCATGGAACGCCACGCAAAAGCCGTTTCATTTCCCGCACGAACTACCGGCGATTCGGGTTCTCGAGATTTTCTCCCTAGCGCTGGGGGCCGAAAGTTTACCCGCTTTAGTAGGCCTTAGGTCCCGTCAAGGTGTCTCGAGCTCCGGTACTCCGTCCTCCGCCCTCCGTTCTCCGTCCTCCGAAGCCCGTGTACATCCGGACCGCGACCTACATGGCTGCGGATGCGGAGTACGGATGCCTTGCACCTACCTTACCATACCGTAAAACCATGCTATTCACTCGGCACCTACGGCAAAAACACCCCGCCTCGTTTCGCTAGACCGACTGAAACCCGGTCAAAGTACCCGACTGAGGGCCGCCCGGAACACCTCGGCCGTCCGTCTATATCACCAAGGTCCTGGTCTAGGGTAGAGTGAGTACTTCGTTACCTACCGTATTCCCCCTCCCACACAGACCACGAGCTGGAGGGTTCCTTTTCCCTCCCTTTCCAAGTCGTTCCCAGCTAGGAGAGGTCTCGGCGGGAAAGTCGGCGCAAAAGAGAGAAAAACAAGTGCCACGTGAATTTGGGAGGCTCCCAATAGAAAGACTGCCCGAGAAATGAACAAGCAGAGAGAAAATGTGAGACAGGTTTCTGTCCTGTCACAAACTTCCCCTGCGCCCTGCCCAGTCTGCCAGTCCCAGCCACTCAGGCTGCCCAATTCGTAATTTTTTGTTTTCATCTGCCATTCTGTTTGCTGTTCTTTGCCTTGTTGGAGTCATCCATTCCATACACACGCGCCGAGGGGGGGCCGCTCGGGTGGAGACCTTGCAGGCGGGTGACTCTGTTGTTCACTCACACTCACACGCTCTTTCCTGCCTGGAAAACGAAACCCGCGAAAAGCCGCACCCAGTGAGAACGTTTTTCCCCCGCCACGGTACCACCAGGCAAAGCTGGCCAGTAGACTCGCAGAAATAAATAGAAGAACAGAAAAAAAAGATGGGAGGGGCGAGGTGAAGTAAAATCTCTTTGCGATTGGCTCTGCCTCCCCCTTCCATCGCGCTGCAGGTCCGCCGTCGACACACGGAGCGGGCCCCTTGGCTTTTCGGTCTTGGACTAAGCCATGGCCGCGGCCCTGGACCGATGTTTTTTTTTGTTCCCCTTCCCTTTTCTCTCGTTCTTCATGCAGATGACATATGTTCGAGTTACGTATTTTTGTGGGAAATGTTTTCACAGTCTTCGCCCCGAATCGGCAAGTGTCACGATGACGTCGATAAATCGGCGGTTGTGTATGCGTGGTTTGTGGTGTACATACGGATTACGAAGTGCACACATACAGTACTCCGTAGAGCCTAGGCAGATTGTCTGCCTGGTGGCAACCAGCATGAAATCCATGCGCTACTCACTGCAAGCGCACGTACACGCGCGCACACACACATACACACACACACACTTTTGTTGGAAGCCTGTTCCGTTAATTCCGCGCTTGGCAATTATAGGTAGATGGATAGATGCCTTTTCTTCACCCGCGGGCCGCATCGGCCTTCGGTGGCGACGTTTTCTTCTTTTTCTTGCTTGCCCGCTGACCTTACCTGTCCACCAAAGGGAGAAAAAAAGCCGTTCGAGTTCTAGCTGCACAGCGGTGTGTTGTTAGTTCCCTGTGAGAGCACGTTCGGGTCCCGTCTGCAGTTGCGCTCCGCTGATCACCAGAGCGAGGGCCGCACTTGGCCTGCCACTAATACACACAGCATGGTCGTCCGGCACACAAACACACATACACACACCATATCGCACAAAATGCATATTGAAATAGAAAACTAACAAAAAAGAAAAAAAGGAAATCCAATGCAGCGCGGCACCTCTTTATAATTTCGCTTTTGGTCATTATATCTATGTGAATTTAGTTGGTGGTTGGGTTGTCTCATCAAAACAAGAAAAAGGGGCGGAAGGGGTTTGGCAGGTCTACACATAGGTACATCTTAGGCAAGTAGGTTATGTGCTGGATTACGTCTAATATACAGCCAGGGACAAACGAGTACTACAATAGCTGAGGTCAAGACATCGAGGTGAAGACACCGAGGTCAAGATTAGAATCACCGGCTCAGCTTATCGGCGTGTTGGTCTGCTGGGTCCGACAAACTCGGGGGTGGCCAAAGTGCCAGAAATACCACCGTTCGGGGCCGCTGCCGCGTCGCTGTTGGCTTGCTTCTTGGACTTGTCGGTCAGTTCGTCGCCCTGCTTTATCAGCCTGCGGAAATTGCCCTTTTGGCAGGCATGCTTCCACTCGGGCTCGAGGACCTTCTTGACCAAGACGTGGGCTGCATCGTTGCGCAGCCTGGAAAGAGCCTGCGAGGCTGTTGACGATACATTTCGACTGGAGCCACCCGTTATTTTCTCTAAAAATCTGATCCCCTCGTCGTATGGGTGCTGGGGATTTATTTATTCTCACCCGTCTCTCCACCATCTCGACATCGAGGGGCTGTAGCTGTCGCAGAGCGACCGTCTGCTAGAGCTGAATGGCTGCCTTATCGGAACTTCCCAGCTGTCGAGGGCCTCCTGGTTCGTGTGCGTCCGGGCGGATTTCAGAACAAGGTCGACCCAACCGAGGGGCGAGAACACGTCCAGCGAAACGCCGCCGAGGATGTTGTAGATGCCGCAAGAGCAGCCGTCGCACTGGCGGCGGTCAAGCAGCCACCCATGCAGCTCGACAAAGTCGGCCACGCTGCGGTTCTGCCCGAGGTGCTCGACCGTATACTTCCCACACCCGGCCAGCCACAGCTTGTACACGAGTTTTTAGGGGTGTGCGGCCGCTGGGGAAGCGCTCTTCATGCCCAGGCGGTGCATGATGTGTCTCGTCCACGCGTTCAGCAACCTGCTCCAGGTTGGCTGGTCGATAGCAAGGTGCCGAGCGTTGGGGTCGAAGTTTAGCGTCTTTGCGGGTAGCATGAGGCCGTATTTGTTTTCTGCGGTGATGCCAAGTCGGCTGAGCTTGTCCTCAAGCCTGTCCTTGACGCCGTCAGTCCAGCCTGCTCCGTTTGCAGAGGCGCCCTTGACAAGGGCTTCCAGCATGCGCCCCTTACACATCCCGCATATCTTTTCGCACGGCTGTACAAAGTCTTGCAAGAGCAACAGGTACACGTCTGGTTCCTGTGCTAAAAATTTCTCGGCAATCTCTTTTTGAAGTACTGCCGTGTTGTCTGTCGCTTCTAGGCTGCTGTTTTTGCTTATGTGTAAACTTTAGCTCGTAGCCGACCTGTGCTCCACCAGAGTGATGGGGTGGGAGGGCTTCGAGCTTATATGCAACAGATAGAGAGAGAAACGGCATACGGTACCTGAGCAGGAGTCATAATGGGAATTGTTCTGGCTTGTAAGTAATCCCAGGTTGTTGAGTTCTTTGTTTGTGCCTAGAAGGGGCTCCGTTCTTGGTGTTTGTCAGAGTCCACGTCACGCTTTCACGTATCAGTCGTGCAGTACAAAGCAATCCGTCAATCATCTAGACACCCTCCATGCTCAGATTAGTAGAACTTTCCATGTCGATAGTTGTGGGAGCTAAGGGGGCGTGGATCAGCAATGTTGCCCCTTAGCCAAGCGTATGTTTCCCAAAAAGCAAAAGTCAAAACACAGCAACGGGCAGGTAATAGTACGGTACCTAGGCTGTGATACGCAACCAGAGCAATACAAACACACGGAACTAATCAAAATAAAACCCTTAGTCATTGCCCAGAAACAACAGACGCGGGTCGTAGGAGAGAACGTTGCTGCCCCGTGTACCTAGAGGCCGGGCCAGTCCCAAACACTCCTCTCGGCATTCCGCCGCGTCACTTGAACCTTGTCTCCCACCGATACAGTCAGCACTTCCCCCTCTCCTCCGGCAACAAAAGCATATCGGCCAAAGACAGGCGACCACTTTGTCCCGGCATCTACCCTGCGATCCTTCATAAGCTTCTTCAGCACCGAGCCCAGCTCGCCTTCAGCCGGCTTGCCCGTCTGGTAGTCCACGTTGAGGCTTATGCACCGCGCGCAGTTGCTCGTCAGCAGTAGCGTGTGCCTCTGCTGCTGCTGCTGCTGCTCCAAATCTTTGGTCTGCACATCGATGGCGAGCTCCGCCCAGAAATCCTCGGCCCACGCGGCCTCGCCCTCTCCGTCGACCACGAGATTGGGCCGGAACTTGAACATGGGCATTGGCTGGTTGGCAGGCAGACGGGCGCTGATGTCGTGCAGCGAGGACTCGGACGTGACCAGCAGCGGGGCCACGTCGGTGAAGGTCAGCCACAGCGCCGGGGTTGCTGGCTGTTGCTGCCGAGGGCTGGTTACCAGCGAGGCTAGCGACGACACCCATCCTTTCTGCGGGGCAGCGGCGGTGTTGGCAGCCTTGGGGAGCATGCTGGTTCCAAGCACGGCCCGCCTTCCGTCACCAATGTAGACTAGAACTGTCCGAAAGCCGAACCGCGAGCTGAACCACGCGTCGTAGCCGCCGCCCATGCGGTAAGCCGTTGCCGGGCTGCCGTGCAGGTCGACGCTGATCTTCTCGAGCAGAGAGATATCCGGCTCCAAAGGCACCCTTAATGTCGCTTCGCTATCCTCGGCGGAGCTCGGTGACTGGGGCGGTGTAACTCTGTTAAGATCTGAGTGATGGCTGTCCTTCGGGCTGTGATATCGCACAACGACGCTGGCTTCTTCTGCCGAGCCATCCGGGCCATCCGGGCTAGAAGCGATCTGCTGCTCGAATAGAGCGCACTGCGGGTGGGACGCCAGCTGCATTGCCTTCATGCCGGCCGTGGCCTCGTGCTGCCCTGCCTGGTACAGCATGAAACGCCGGTCATGCTTGATCCCCTGCGGCCCGACCTGGGCTTTCCGGAGCTCGATCCCCCGCAGACCTTTGATGGGGTAGACGTAGAGCTGTTTGTTGTTTGTATTTGTCAATTATCAATTGGGAATTCAATTGTCGGCCGGGTCCAGTTCCAAGGTCACCGCGTGTGACGTGTGCTAATTACTAAGAACACCTCAGGGGAAGCTACTTACAGCTGAGATTTTCATAGTGTCTGGAAGGTGTCGGTGAATCAAAACTGGTGAGCAGGAGGGAGTCAAATGACGAGGATGGACGAACTCAAAGCTCTCTGTCCTGTGTGGATCTGCGGCGGGGGTTGAAGAGGGGGGAAGGCAGCTTTGGTTGGGCCTAGATCGCTAGTGCCTGTCTTCACTCTTCCATATGGAATGGACATGCGGCAGCAGGACAGTGAGGCTGGCATACATGAGATCCGGTTGGTCTTATTCTGCGCCCCAACGGCAAGCAAGCTTATTAAGTCTAGGTAGGTAGGTCTGGTATGTAATGATGTACTACTGTACGACTGTACCTCTAGGGCCCTGCAGGCACCGCGATAAGCAAGTTTTCGTTGACATCTATTCGTCGAGGCATGTGTAAGTCCCACCGTCCTCCACTTTTTGATCCAGTCAAATATCAGGGTGAGAGGAGAACTCCCGGGACAGCCTGGCCTATCAAAGAAAGATATACGGGACTGTTTGTCTATGACCGGATTGGATCACTGGTGGAGCTAATTAGGTTTAGACTGAAGTGTTTGCCAGACTTCGTAATCAAACATTAGACATTGTTTACTTTTCGGTCTCGGGCTCTACCTGGGCAAGCGTTGCTCGAGTTTGAGCATAATTATCGGGTAATCAAAGACCGGACGACTTATTGAGCCGGACCTGGCTCATACCAACGCGGATTAATTAAATAATTAATTCCCTTGAACAAAGCCCCCGAATGATACCCTGCCTAGGCCTAGACCCAGTCGACTCTTACTAATTGTTATTTTGAACCAAGTCTAGTAGCCCAGACGCCTAAAGCTAATCCTGGCAACTGCTTCGTTCACAGAGCAAACCACGGGTGCTCTAATATGCCCTCGGCCGAGATCCTCTGCTCAGGCACGTATTTGAAGATTCTCCGCAGCAGATCAGCAAACAGGGCCATCTCCTCCTCCTGAGCCCTATCGTGGTTGCCTGTGCCGAGGTGGTTGAAATCATGGACGAGGCCACCTGCGAGCAAGTCTTCGATGCTGGAACTAGAACTGCGTTTCTTGGCCAACGGCACACGGGACGGAGGAGCATGCAACTCGCTTTCGTCACCCAGCCAGCTATTGCCTGCTCCCCTCGGCCATCCCGCTGTGTATCTCCCGTCCCCCAGACATCGCCTACGGGCCTCCCATGTCGTCGACCACCACGGCTCCGGGAGTTTTCCGAGGATCTCCACCATGCGCACCAGGTGCTCGTCCGGATCCTCGACGGGGATGTCAAACAGGCGCCTGCCAGCACGAATCTCAAAGAGCGTGCACCCGAGCGCCCAGATATCGCTCGCCGTGCCCAGCCTCTTGTCCAGGACGTATTCTGGCGGGCAGTATTCCAGCGGCGTGGCCAGGTCCTCTGGCAGGTCCCGGACATCGAACGACTCGGCAAAGTCGACAACGCAAAGCTTGTCTGTGACAAGGTCAAACTCATTACCACTGAGATCCAGCAGTCCCCACTCGATCGGCTTAACTAGGTAGGCTGGCGCCGTGAGCGGCCAGGGGCCCTCGCCCGACGCCTGCACGACGTCTACAGTCCTCGGAGGTCCCAGTGTTAGGCGGAGCTCGTCTTCAGAGAGCCCTGCCGGCCCCTGTATCCGCATGAGAATGTTTGCTGGCCGAAAATCTGTGATTGTCTGGTATGAGCAAGATCCCAGCACCAACCTTCCCCCCCGGCACGCGAAAGGGGAAACGGGAGGGGGTTTTTTTTTTTTTTTTTTTTTTTAAAAAAAAAAAAAAAAAAAAAAAAAAAAAAAAAAAGAAAGAAAATTAAATAAATGAATCGGCACCACTGACCTCCATGGCAGATGCCGTGAGAGTGAAGACTGGCCATTGCCTTGACGGCCTGGAAACACAGCTTCCTCGCCTCCCTCACAGGCTTGCCTTTCTCTGCTACAAGATGCGAGACAGGCCTTGACACCACTACCCGCGGCCCCAGCACGGGATACACGACGGCGAAGTGACGGCCATTCGGCCCCTGGAAGTCGAACCGGCCGAGGGGCAGGCAGAGGTGTTCGGCGGCATCGCTCTTGGCCAGGCCCCTCCTCAGAAGCCGGTAGGCGCGAAGTTCGGGGGAGTCGTCGATGGAGGCGCTGGCCATGAGGACTTTGACGGCAAAGTATTGCGTCGTCAGCGCTTGCTGGAAGACGTCGCGGCAGAGCCAGATGTTGGCGCGCCCGCCGTGGCCCAGCTTGTCCATGACCTTGTAGCGGCCGTTTAGCACGTCGCCCAGGTGGACGGGGTGGTGGCCGCCAGGCTCGTAGTCGCAGATGTTTTCTAGCCCGAACGGCATCCCATCTAGCACCAAGCCGTTGTCTCTGAACTCTCGGAAGCTCTCCTGTGGAGATAGAAGAGACAGCACGGGGCTGAGCTCTCCCATCGTTGCTGTCTTGTTTTGTTCTATGTGTGGGGATCACAGCGGTGGTGGCAATGTTGTTGTTCTGCTTTGTTTTGTTTTCCGGGGCTGACTAGACCACCCTGACTTGAAGGCATTGCCAGTGGAAACTGAATTGTTAAGAAAGAGAGGAGGTGTGCGCAGCATCTTGATATTACAAGAGAAGTAGGTAAGTACCAAGCCTGGGAAAGAAAAGAGGCAGAGACGCAACTCGGGCAAAGCCGCAAAAAGGCGTTTAATGACCAAGGACAACAGGATATGACGAGAACGGTTATCAAACAAGCCAAAACGAACACACGGCAGGCAATCCATGCCACATGGCATCCTTGGTCTCCCCACAGGTAGATATGCGTCTGTACTGTACGGTAGAGTCCTGCGCCGCCTCCTGGCGATCCCGTTTCAGGCTGAGCGTCGCACGCCGATTGGCCCCCCAGCCCTCTGAAGGCTTCTGGAAGCTAGGGGTAGCTAGCTGAGCTACCTAGGTAGGTTCCATGCTCGGGCGGAGCCGGGGTTCTGCAAACGATCGGCAGAGCAGAGCAGCGCTCCCCGAAGTCAACGTCGGACTCTTGAAGCGAGCTCGGATTATCCGACTCTCAGCCACCGGCACCAGTCCGAACAGCTACCAAAATTGGGCCGGGTTCGGCTTGTGTAACTGCCTCTACACGTACATGTAGGCACACGTCCAGCAATCACGCCGGATCTCCGGGCCCCGGCATAGCTCTCACGTCATCGACAGGGCTGCAAAAGAAACCGAGCAGGGGGCAGGATCCGCCTCAAGACAAGCTCGACATTGGAATTAGAATATAAAACCAGCCCCGGAGAACGCCTGCATCCACCTGTCCCCCAGACAAACAGAAACAAACGGCAAAACCGAAACCAAAACCAAAATCAGAACCGGGTAATTTGACGACGGCACCATGGAGTCGCACTCGGTTTCATTGAAACACAAGCCCGGCGCCGCCCTGCGCGTTTCGACTTACTTTCCCGGCGGGGCCCAAGGACCCCTTTCCAACGCCCTCGTCGTCTTCCTCAACGGTCTCGGCCTCCCACGCGCAGCCTGGTCCGACGCAGTGGGCCGACTGCTCGAGCTGCGCAAAGTGGCCGGCCAGCCAACGCCGGCACTCTTCTGTTACGACCGCTACGGCCAAGGCGAGTCGGAGCCGGACCCGACCGACCCGCCCGGGACGCCGTACGGGCACGACGCACGTGCCGTCATCGCCGACCTGCATGAACTCCTCAACCATGTGGCCGACAACGAGCTGAGGACGCCACTAGCCGAGACCCGCCTCGTGTTCGTCTGCAACTCGATCGGGTGCGCGCTGGCGCGCCTGTACGCGGCCGAGCACCCAGGGCGCGTCGAGGCCTTCTTGTTCCTGGATCCCATGGTGGCCAACTCGGACTTCGTCTCGCTTATTCCGGACCCGGACGCCCCCGGCTTCGACTCGAGCCGGCTCCCCGCCCATGTCTCGGTCGACGACTTGCGATACGCGCGAGCCATGGTGGCCAAGACCTTCCTGCCCACTGTGCCGAATGGGGAGCGTTTTGACCGGCGAAGACTCGCCGACTTGCTTCCCGGCGCCGACAAACCCATCTTGCCCGACGGGCCAGGTGGGAAGACGCCGCGTCTCGTCGTTGCCGGCCATGACTGGGACGAGTTTGCCGAGCAATGCAAGACGGTAAGCTTTTTTATTTCTCCTTTCGCTATTACCCATTACCTTACTGTTAGGTACCGCGGAACTTGGGCTCGAGCTCGAGACGTCGAACTAAGAGACTAAGAGAGTGCTAAATCCGATGACAAAGTCCGGCTTGATGGCTAACGATGGCGTAACTATAATGAAAGGGACCTATGGCACTGCCCATACCTGTCGTGAATGCCTACGTAAACCCTGCGTGGGGCGAATACAATGAAGGCCTGACCCGTCTTGTCCAACACGAGTCTAGGCCTGGCGGGCAACTGAAAATCGCCAAGGGATGTGGTCACTTTATCCAAAAGGACGACCCCCAGTTTGTGGCAATCGAGATCGATGGCTTGCTGAAAGAGCTGGCCCGATGAGGCTTCTCGAGCGAGGTAGCCACCGGGACACGCAACCCGACGTCTCCTTGGGCTCGTTATCAGTAATGGCGCACGGAGGGATGCCAGTTCTAGACTTGGGCTCCGCGTTGCATTACAGACCTGTTGGCCGGTATAGGGTACGCGGTGACATCGCCGAATTGAGACTCCGGCGTAGATATGTTGAACTTGGAACGTAACGGTTGTAATAAATAAATACGCGATCTATCCTATAGGATCAGTGCAAGTACTGGAGACGACTAACACTATGAAGGGCACATCTGTGGAAACCAACGACACCGCCCAACAAACTCAAACAGTGCCCTGGCCCAAAGAAATACCGAAGCATGACACCGAGTCTCCGAGTCTGTAGACGAGCGACTGCAACAGCACGTTAATACCGGTGGTAGGCACAAACACGGGTGCACGTCTACCATAGTTCAGCAGAGCACTCACCAATTTCTAACCGCCGAGCAGAAGTCGTGGGGTTCGGAATCTTTCCAAAAATATTTGTCGAGGGGCCCGTAGCGTCCTCGCCACCAATCACCGAGCCAGCCCTCGCCCTCGCCATCTCCCTCCTCCCTTGCCTCCTGAGCATAGACACTCCTGCTTGCCTGGCCTGTGCCAAGATTCGTTGCCTAAACAGATCGAGGCGCCTGGTACCAGTTCTCCGGCAGGTCGCCCAGACACTCGCCTACCGTCACCGCCTTGTAGCCGCGCTCTTCGATCTTGTTGAGCATAAACTCGACGAGAACGTTTGCAGTCTCCTCCTGCACGTCGTGGCTGAGAACCAGGAACGAGTCTTGCTCCCGGCCGGCGTCCAAGGCCTGCGAGAACCTGTCAATAGACGTCTGGATCGTGTCTGGCGTATTGTAGAGATAGTCCTTTGTGTCGACGTCAAAGTTGACAATGTGGTATCCCATCTGATCCAGCTCCACCAGGCATTGCTGTTCGCAGGTCGCATAGGGCGGTCGAAAGTAGGCTGGGTACATTCCGAGCACGTTGGAGAGCGACTGCTCGAGATCGTGCATCTGCTGCTGCCTCATGCTCGAGTCGGCCGTTGTCATATCCACATGTGACCATGAATGCGAGCCAACCTGGTGTCCCGAGCTCACCATTCGCCGTAGAAGTCCGGGCCAGGGCGTTGACTCATCATCGAGCCCCTGTATCCAATTGTCACCATTGACAAAGAAGGTGGCCTTGGCATTGTGCTGGTCTAGGATATCCAAGACGTGTCCCGTGTATTTGTATGGGCCGTCGTCGAACGTCAATGCCACCACGCTGGGTACCGTGCAGTGACTGATGATGGTGCCACGGGGGACGGTGCTGGCCGTTTGACGGGCTAGCACGCTCGCGTCTCTGGGAGCAATGACACCGTCTCTGGGGAGAAGCACTCCAAAGGGAAGTATTGAGGGTAAATGCATCGTCAAAAGGGCCAGCCTGTCAAACGAGCGGTGCGGCTAGTTGATAACAATGCTCGAATAACAGTGCCACCGAGGACGAGCAAGGAGATGAGCCAAAATATAGAGGCATGTAGATAAGTCTACACAGACGTAGACCGCCTACCCACCGAAGCCACCCCCAAGATTAACACTGTTAGGTGTTGCCTCTGGCTCCTTGACATTAAAGTACCATAGTGACATCACTTAGGTCTCGAGGGGCAAGAGCGACCAGAAAACAGCACCAAGGTGGTTGGTACCAATACCAGGTATCAAGCGAATAATTCGCAAGGGGCCATTGCCGCTGTGCGCAGCTTTGGGGAACAGACATGACGTGACGTCTAGACAAGTTTCAAAGCCAAATGACAGAGCGGGCGGGAAGGACCCAGTCGCAATATACAACTTCCATGACCCCCCAAGGTGTGTATCGCCCTTCCCATCCACTATGGTGCGAAGAGGGCAAGGCAGCCCGACTGCACGACGAGGCAGTCTCGTTTCCCGGATAGCATCGTGCTCACTAAGTCAAGGTTTAATCAGTTCCAGCCGTGTTTTTCTTCAAAACGGAACTTGCAGACACTGGTCTGAAAACAGCTGGAGAGATGCAATTCAACTTGACAACTATTAGTGGCAATAGGAACGGCGAGAAATTTTGGGCCGAATAAGTCCCCCGGCTGGCCGTGGCCCTCGTTAATTTACCTAATGCTGTACCCTTTAAGTAAGAGAAACGAACCTGCACTAGCGAGACTAAGGACGGCCCAGGGCAAATCGAGCTCAATGACAGACCACACCCACAGGCAGCCAACGGGCGGGGCGCGCTTCATCACGGCCATATATCCGTAAGTGTTTGTGATGTGAATTAGATAGCACCCGGCGCAGATGCTGGCCACGAAGAATATGGACTGCCGTATGATGGGCTGTACGCGCTTAGGCAGTCCGGGGAGAATTGACGGGTTCGAGGGGTGCGGATGGAGGGGGTAGAAGAGCATGGCGAAGACTGGAGTTCAAGAGAGCAGTGTGGTCAGCGAGATATATCCCCACAAGAAGGTGCGAAGGGCATGTATATCCTTTCATCTTCATCACAGGCTGCATGGACTCACCCAGAAGTGCCTGCCCGGCGCGCGTCCAGACCTTGGCCCAGACAACCCGGTCGGCAGAGAACTGGTGCTGCACGAGGACATCCAGAGTGAAATGTAGCATGGCTAGGCTGATGGTCCAGAGGATAGTGTCGAGGATGCGTTCCGTGGTCGGCGACAATTCCGCCCCATCATCATCACCATCATCGCCATCCTCACCCCCACGCTGAATGCTTTCCCCGTGTGTCTCGGCTCGTTTGGCCTTTTTGTTCGCGTCCTCCTTGTTCTTTGCCAAAACAAAGAGATCCCTTTCTTCGGCAAGCTCGAGAAGCGTCTTGGTTGACGGCCCGGATCGGTCCGGCTGCCGAAGCTTGAGGTTGGGAGATCGATCTCCACGTTTTTTTGCCATTTTTGGAGAAGTGACTTGAGCTCTGAGAGAAGCCCGAAGTGAGCCTTGGTTGAAGCACAATCTGCGTGTAAAGTATCGATCGTCAATAGTTGCGGCCGTGTTCCATGTGCTCCATGTTAGAGGTAGGTTGCGTTCCGTACCCGACACGTTCAATACAAAAATACTTCAGTACGAATACCTTGTCAATTTTCCCTGACGCGTCGTATCTACGGAGAAGGTGGAGACGTATTACGTATGGAGCAGGGTGCCTTAGCCCCTTCCTGGGCCGCAAACAAGCGGGCTGCGGCTCAGTTGACATGGAGCACCTAGAAGTTAGTACTGGAAAGCCTTTGTTTTTATTATTCTACATATGCGCATACGGACAACTGTAAGAACAGCGACGTCTTAATTGAATGATTCGTAGATACCTTACCCTTGAAGGCATTGGTTTCGTATTAGCATTACGGACAGGATGGAATATGGCGCCGTAAGGCCGACTCCACTCAACGGCCCTGTCGATACACTAAGAAATCTTTTGGACTGTTCAACTTGTGGTGGTGCATGTGGCACCAGGCAAGTAGGTTCGACATTGAAAGGGAGGCTATCCAGGAGCGTAAAGGTTTTAGAAACACCCAGCCAACTCTTGCTACATAGTAAAAGCTCCTTGACGACGACGCCATTAGGCAGCGCAATGGCAGTTCATTAGACGGATGGGCGTATCCCCGGATTTTCTCTTGACGGCGACAAGCCCACCACGGAAACCCCTCCCTCATGGGGACCGACCGGGGTCATCAGTTCTCTCAAATCGCAAGGTGGCATTATCCATCCCATCGTGATTCTTCCTCCACCCCTGAAAGTCACGTCTGGCTGTCCAAATGAGCGAGAGCGAACCCGCGTTCGTCATTATCATTTCCCAAGGGGCGCTCTCATACGTTTAGTAGTCCAGATTCTTTTCCTCCTCCTTTTCCTGGCGACCCAAGGGGGAATTAGAACCAAGACCAAGACTGTCTGTCTCCTTGTCCCGAATAAATCTGGGTATCCGTACAGCGGAGAGAGCTCGTCTTCGTTTCTACTCGCAATCGATTCTGCCTGGGTTCAGTCTGCATTGGCAGGCACACGCGCGCGACGCATTGGCAGTACTCGGTACCTGCAGATTTCCAGAAAGCTTACCCGGTCTCTAGCCCCCCATTTTAAGCCGCATACCGACTTTATTTTATTTTTTGGGCCCTTTTCCAGGTTGCGCCCGCGATCCAAAGAAAACCGCCGATCTTGCGCTCCTCCCTCCCGCTGTCCTGCCCGCCACGTCCCTGCCAACATCGGGTGCTGGTCGGGGGAGGAGCCACCTCGTTAATCAATTGACCGACGACCACTGACGACTTCTTCCGGCTTTGGATATCTGGCTTTTGTTGTACTCGGCTGGCTACCAAGCCTACCCGGTTTTGGGTTGACGGGGACGGGCGACACAACCATGATGGACTGGCTGCTTGCCTTGGGCGTTGTCGCCGTCGTGATTCCGACGCTCTACCTTTACACGGTGTCGGTCGTGGCGACGCGCTTCCCGACGCTACAGAACAAGCGCATCTGCCTCCTGATTGCGCATCCCGACGACGAGGCCATGTTCTTCGCCCCAACGGTGCTGGCGCTCGCGCGCCCAGAAACCGGCAACCACGTCAAGATCCTGTGCCTGAGCAGCGGTATGCGCAAATGCCCCCCTCAGTTTCGGGTTCCTGCTTTTTGGGAGAAATGCGCTCGGCAAAGACACTCCTGCCTGAAAATGGACTCCTACTGACAGTTACTTGATAATTCATCAGGAGATGCCGACGGCCTCGGCGAGACGCGGAAGCGGGAGCTGGCTAAATCCGGGCTCACACTCGGCCTGCGCAAAGCCGACGACGTCTTCGTGGTCGAGAAACCAGAGTTCCCCGACAGCATGACGGCGACGTGGGACGCGACCGCCATCTCGTCCCTCTTGTGTGCCGCCTTCGCGCCGCAGCTGAGTCGTTCGCGCGACTCAGGCACAGCACCGACGGCCTCGATCGATGTTCTAATTACCTTTGACGCCGGCGGCGTCTCGGGACATCCGAACCACATCTCGCTCTACCATGGCGCCAAGGCCTTTGTAGCCGCGCTAGTGGCCGGCAAGGCTGGCTGGGCGCCGCCCGTGGACCTGTACACTCTGGCCACGGTGCCCCTGGTACGCAAATACGCCGGATTTTTGGATGTGGGGGCGACCTTGGTGAGCTGGGCAACTGGTACCCAGATGAAAGACAAGAAGCATCCTGGCGGACTCGTCTTTCTCACGGGGCTCGCCGGCCGAGGCAGCATCCGTACGGCATGGAAAGCCATGACCACGGCACATAAGAGTCAGATGGTATGGTTTCGATATGGATGGATCATCTTAAGCAGGTACATGTACGTAAATAATTTGAAGCTGGAGAAGATCAAGGGCCGGTGACACATACCGGGCCTGTATACCATTTAATCACTGGTGGATCGCGCAATATTTTTTTGAGTACAGCAGCTATTCCCAAAGGCTCTGGCCCTGGAGAAAACTTGACATATATGACCTTGTGTGGAACGGAAGGCGGGATTCACGTCCCAATGCCTTCGGCCACAATATCATCGCAATAATAAGGTAATGTATACACCAAAAGTAACGCCTACGTGCCGCGCCTCAGGGCTCAAGGCTCAACGATGATGGCCTGCCTATGTCATGTTAATAGATACTGTCGCCGTGACGCCGTTAGTTTTCCGGCTGCCCGTCGATCACGCCTCAGGAAGGTCCCAATCCGTGGTCCGCTCCGGATAAACCTTCTAACCGATACCACATTCCTTCTCTTCATGAGAGTGATACGAGACTTGATAGGAATACCCCAAAGAGCAGGTGGCGTCTTCCTGAGAGGCTGTAAGTCAACGGTGCCAATGGATGGCGCCTCTCTCTCAACCTCCACCCATGTGCCGGGTCTGTGGATCGTCCGGATCTTGTACAGCTCTACCACCCCCCCAGGAATTTTGTACTTGACGACGTTGCGGAACATGTTCCGGAAGATGCCAATGAACTGAGGTATCGTCCGCGTCGCCAATTCTTCGTCTACTTCAATTTCCGAGATCTTATCCATCAAAATGGCACACATGGAGTGGAAGGCATGCCATGTAGCTTCTTTGCGCACCTGGGCCTTGGGCCAAGCTTGCCTTGCCTCGTGCAGATCGAGACCGAGACCCAAAACCAGCGTCTGGTTGTAGTAGGCACGCTCGGCCTCTTCTTCGATACGCTTATAATACGGCTCGAGCTCCAGCATATATTCCATCGCTTCAACGATGCGGTTTCGCCTTATAAGGGACTTGATCAGAATGGTGTACTGAAGAAATCCGGGCTGAATCTTATACTCCGTTGTCATAGTGTCCCAAACCAGTTGCACCGATTCGTGTGTCGTTGCCCTTCCTGGAAACCCAGCCTCTATCCATTCGGATCTAGCGGGGTTTGTTGTGTACAAGTAGGTCCATTGGAGTATATCGAACCAAGTTTGATCAGGTATGCGAATGTTATAACGGAGCGCCAAGAAATCAACCAACTTCAACGCAACAACGATTTCGCCATTGCGACAGTAGCTGCTCACAACGGCGTCCAGGAGTCGCTTCGTTGGGTCGGTGATTGAACCGGGTGGTGTGTGCTTTCTTTCATCCCCCTCTATGATGACATCCGCGGTCCTGGTGTTTTTGTTGTGCCTCCGTTCGCTTTTGGAAATACCGGACTCCCGAACTCTGATGACCTTTATTCCAAAAAACCTTTTCAGGATCACACCTTCCAGAAGCGTAAGCGATCCTGTCGTTCCCAAGGCAACCATTAGGGCACAGCAAACGCGCTCGTCCATAGTATTGTGGTGGTATATCATTTTTCTAAAGAGGTTAAGGGCGTCCTCTCGCAATCTCGTAACCCTTCTGAGAGACTCCACTTTAATGTACGAATGCCGGGTCTGGCCAAAACGATGGTTTGGCGATAAGGCCAGTTGCGTAGCCGCCCTGAGTCGATATGTTTGGTTTCGTCCATAGAGTAATTTGGTGTTGTGAAGGTCAATGGCGCGAACACGCGACCTTGCAAGGTCATACTGGTTATATGAGTGCTCGGTGAGATAACGGGACTTGATGTATTCATCCACGAGCCCCGATTCTCGCAATTTCAACTCGCCAGCTTGCTTCATCAAGAGGAAGATGTTGTGAACGATCATCGGATCGGAGGCTGCCCCAGCACACCTAAAGAGTACTTTGAAGTCGGAAAGAATTATAGGCCGTTTTGCCAAGATTCTCAGTTGCACTGCAGCGAACACGCGCTCCAAGAGGAGGACATTCCCCGTCCGCACACCGAAGATGTCGAAATAAGACCCAAGACTAGTTGACAGGGCCACGCCAGGATTCACATTAATGCCTACAGTCGGGTCAAGCTCTGCAGCAAGCGTCAAGGGGTCGAGGGACCGTAGAAGCTCGGAGAAGGCAGTCGGAGGAAGCCTTGCAAGTGTAGTTTTCTCTCTTTCACCCCGCTCCGCGAGAAGTTCCCGCAAATATTCGGACCTTTCCAACGGATCTTTGAACGATTTGGCAAACACGAGATCTGATCCCGTAGGATCAAAGTTTGGATCCGGTACCTCGCTTATGCTGGTTCGGGGAGCAAATAGTTTGTAGCTCGACGAATATCTGGACGGCACCTTCGGAGGGGGCTCTCGTGTCGGAGGGACGAAAATGCGGCGGAGGAATTTCCATTCTGCATGACTGAGCTCATAGTTCCGAGTTTCTGGCTGCCAAGCGCCTGAATTCTCGCTATTGAAGTTTGTCGCCGTCACGGCGGGCGCATCAGGGGGATCGGTCGCTCGGCTGTTCAACCAGCGATAGCTAGTGGAGTTGAGGCCACTATGCACACGAGGCTTGCGGAAACTGGGCAGCGCAAGTCGAGGAACCCTGGGTCGACCAACTCGCCAGCCGCAGAAGTCGGCTGACAAGTAGAGGGCGTTCATTGGCAGTTTTCGAAAATCGTATCATTATTCAGGCGTGCAGTCCTACTAGCCATGGGTGGGAGCTCCAGAGCTTTGATCTGGCACTTGGCTGGCGGGATGAGAGGGGTGGAGTCGAAGGAAGGGCTGGGGAAATCTGGGGAAAGTGTTTCGAGCTTGGGGAGCTGTTAAGACGATGGACGGACGGCCAGACAGAACCCCGGCCAGCTGCAGGGGCGGAAATCGTTCTGTATCCATACCTCTGTATTTACCCCGCCTTGTCCATTGGGCGAGGAGCATTTGTGGAGTACGGAGAACGGTAATTTCGATTCTCCGGAGTCAGAAGGCTTACCTAAGCTACAAGGCCAGGACGAAATGTAATGCCAGTGAGCCACTCGCTGTATCCGTACTCCAGTTGACAGGAGCTGCCTAAAAAAATCCATATGCAAAGAGGTGGTGGTGGCTCGTGCATTCTCGGCACATTTCAGTTGGACAACCAATTCATGAAACAAGGACAGCACCTTAAGGACCCGCCCATCATCTTCGCCCGACGTTCACGCTGCAACAGAAACTAAAGGCCACCAAAATTTTGCGTGACGCGAATTTCTCATTCGCCATGGCCGAAGCGGGAGATGAGGGTAATCCGGTGTCAGAACCCCTCGACCTTGTGAGGTTGCTGCTCGATGAGGTTGTCTGCGTAAAGCTCAGAGGCGATCGCGAGCTGAAAGGCCGCCTTCATGTGCGTCATCTCTACCTACATTTCCCTATCGACATGCATGCACAGTAACCTCCCTGCCCCGCAGCTTTTGACTGACACATACATCTATCGCTTCAGGCTTACGACAGCCATTGCAATCTGGTCCTGGGCGAGGTTGAAGAGACCATCTATGTCGTCGATGAAGAGGATGACGATGACGAAATCAAGGCAAGCAGACATCCGCTACTCCATCCCGTCACATCATGACTGTGGCGGCGGGCTCGGGGATCTCGGGCTTTACTGACTGACTACCCGGTAGACCGTCAGCAGGAAATCCGAAATGCTGTTTGTGAGGGGCGATAGCGTCGTGCTCATCTCGCCACAGTCACGAGCCTATTGACAATACTGAGGCTATTGAGGCCGTCTCATTTTGGTCGAGCCGTTCCCCGGCCTGACACCCGTCTCAAAGATAGTCTGGGCAAATGAATGTATGGGGATTTTTGCCTTTTATCTCTTGGTTAGCAGCTGAGATACAGCAGGCTGTTTCCGTCTTCGTTACCAAATAACAGGGCCGCCGCGCCCTTGAACCAACATACCGGAGTCCAGAACTTTTACGTTCTGCCCAATAGAGTTTCCGTCGGGCTCTTCCTATTACCTGCGTTTATTCCAATTCTTTGATCCCTTCGGCGTGGCCAAACTCCCAATCATGGTTGGATCATGATATATGACAGGACTCTACAAAGGGACTGATATAGAGTATTCGTATAGTCCAAAATGTTGGGCGCGTTGCCATGGCCACTGTATCTAGTCCACATAAATCTACTATCAAGGGAACGTGGCGATGGTGTGAGGGCGCAGCCAATGCCGACATAACCCGCTATATAACCCGTAGACAAGAACGAGCAATCGTGGGCATGACGCCTGGGACCTCCCGAGTTCTGTTCTCTCGGGCATTACAAGATGTTGCACCAGAATACCATCTGTCACATCTGTCACTGCTCTGGTTATGAGCTAATGCATCTTGCGAAAATAACATCTCTAAGGGTGCAGCATCTGCACGGAAGGAAAAGGCTTTCGCTGTCATTTTGTGTGCCAAATGGCAACGGAAATTACAATTGATTCAAGACCCTATTACTCCGTCTCTAGATTATTTGTGGCACTAGCAGCCCAAGTAATACCCACCCTACCGTTCTCAAAAACACGAATTCCTGCGCTGTCGTTACTGCCGTTAAAAGGTGCAATGCAAAAAACCATACGGCCATATTTAAGAGCATTCGCGCTTGATTTGTTTCCATATGCAACACCCGTGAACGCCCAAAGCTAGAACCCAAATAAGCAGTTAACCATACTCTTGAAAGGCCCTTCACTTTTTTATGCACTGTTATACTCCCCCTTTCAGTTCGGGGACTGCTCTTTCGACTTTGTCTTCTTGGGCCAAGGAGCTGATTGGTCCCGGCTCATCTTCCGGCTGCTTTGGCATCAGCGGATTGGATGGGTCGTAACCAACGCTTTTGACGATACCGAGGCCTTTTGTCCTACCCTCTCTAAAGAGGAGTCGGTCACCAGGAGCCAAATACTCGGGTCGCTGAACAAATCGGAAAGCAACGGTAGCCCGGTCCCCGGTTCGAATGAAAGGGCGGTCCACATCAATTATGGCGCATGTCTGAGATACCGGCCCGACATGCAACATGGCTTGATACTTTGTCTTGATCGTCGTTGCGTGTGAGAGGATGAGCACTGATCTGGTTAGCAAATGGTGACAGAACCTCAGGGGGCTTTAGAAGAGGACTTTGGGCAAAGCACACCTTCGGCAACGAAGTCGCGATAAACCTTTGGAGAGGCGCCATCCGGAGACTTGGATAGGACTACCATTCCTTTGCGGACGTCTTTCCTTCTGACTTTCCTCAGGGCAAACGAGGCAGACTGGCCGGCAGATGCGGCAGGAACACCGATTCGTTTCCTTTCGATAGACCTTATCGATGTTTGTGTGAACCGTCCAAGAGAGTCGGGCCCAATCTGGACATCATCTCCAGCGTGGATGACTCCGGACTTTACTATCCCCGAGACCACAGTCCCAACATGGGGTACACTGAAAGTGTCGTTGACATGGAACTCGAATGGAGCGTCCGCGTCATAGCGGCCGTGGTGTGGGAGGATGTTAAGGAAGGCCCTGACGAGATCCAGATTCTCGCCAGTGACATTGGAAACCTGGAAGATAGGGCAGATGCGCTGGCTGACAAATTGTGTCGCCGTGTTGATGCACTCCTCATGGGTTTTGATGAATATGGGGATCTTTCTTGCCCCTGGACTCTTCAAGATCCGCGTAATCTGGGTGATGGTTTGCTCCAAGATCTGCGGTGGACAAATGTCGATTTTGGTGATGACAACCATAACCGGAACATTCAGGGCAAGAGCAATGCCAAGGTGCTCCTTGCTCATGCCAATAAGTCCGTTGTTCGCTGCCACCATGAGCAGGCAGTAATTAGGGCTGCTAGATAGGAGGCCGAACACGGTAGTCCGTAGGTAGCGCTCATGGCCAGCAAGGTCGGTAAATGTGATCACTTTGGCGCTGCGCTTGCCAATCTCCTCCCACGAAAGCTTGCGACCCGGGGTGTCAGAGACGACAACCTGGCCCCTGGTATCAAACCCCATAATTTCCATGCCCACAGACGAGGTACGGCCAGTGTCGATCTCGTGCTTGTGTCTGAAGAGGTTAACACGCGCCTTGCCTCGCCCGTCGTCCAGGTCTCCCTTGACAAGCACCCCTAGCATGGAGCTCTTTCCGGCGTCGACGTTGCCAACCACGGCTATCCTCGTCTCGATTACTTGCTCCACCGTAGCTGGGGCCTGGCGAATCATGATCTTCCCGCTGCATTCCTGGTCCTTGGTTGCCATCCCGTCGAGCTCGCCACCCGTGTTCTTAGTTAGCAATATCTGGCAATCAGCACGCAGCGTCCTCGCGGCTTCTGTTAGCCTCTTGTAGGCGGTATTCCACTCTTCGATGGAGAGTCGCATGCTGTCGCCATTGTTCTCAAAGCCGATATCAAAGACAGTCTCGGAATGGCCCTCGATGAGCCGTTCATGAACGACGTCGGCAAGCTTCTGTAGGGAGTCGTCATCATTGCCGATAGACAATAGAAGATCTCGTAACCTCACGTTTGGGGCCGGGTCGGAAAGATTGAGGCTGTCGAGAATATCATCCAGCTCCTCATGGTGGTCGACTTCAGCCGGCAGTGTCTTCCCGGTTGCCGTTGTTGACGCCGCCGTGGCCGACACGCCAACCACGGCCTTGGAGCTTGGGAAACGGAGAGCCTGCTGCTTCTCGACGTATTCGGCGAAGTCGCTCAAAGCAGCCTCCCCTTTCCGCTTCTCGTGCGGTAACTGCTTGGCAGGTTTGCTAGCCATGGTGTGGTGGGAATCTGTTACGTGATAACCGATTGTAGGTGCAAGATCGTCAACACATCCGTATCCTCGGAATCATTAGGCCGGGTTATGCTGGGAGGGACAATGGAGCGGTGCGTCAGATTGATACTAGCATGTGATTGTGTTGAACAAGATGAAAGAGGAGAGAGAAGAGAGAGAATGTCGGGTTATGATGGCAGTAAAGTAATGTATCGATGCTTCTCTTATACACCTCACCTAAGGTCTGGCTCGCCGGCTGAGTCGAACGAAGCTCTGTAGAGTCATCGACCACTCCGCCCCAAAGTGAGTAACCTCTAACGTCAAGTCCCTAGTCCCAAGAGCAACAGGGCTTATCGATAACAAAATGGACCTACCCCGCGGCCCCACGTTGACAGGGGGGCAGCTAAGCTAGAGGCCTTTTGGCACAATGGCTGACCTCGTTGTATTCCATCGAAAACCTGAAAAAAGAAGACTCAAGCCATTTCTCCCATCAGGTAGGAACTGCTTCAAGAGCCGAAGGAGTCAAAGGTTCTGCCCATTAAGTTACAGGCGTTCAAATTTGTCTGCACTTTACTCTAGTGTTAGACATTAAATAGTTACGGATTCCGAGCTACTTAGGTAGGTAAAGTAAGTATTGAATAAATGTTGGTTTGTACCATTTTCTCAGAACTGCCCGACCAAACGCCACCAGATGAAGCTCCATTCTATGCTTTGGCGATGACAAATAAAGTAAAAATGACTTTTCCTCTTTAACTTTTCCCCATTTCCAAAAAAAAAAATTCCTAACGCCCACAAGTGCAGCAAAGCTCAGCAAACACTCAGATTGCAAGCCAGGGTATAATACAATCCAACTCAACGAATAATCCGATCCAGCATAATATGCATCGTTATGGCCATGGTGCAGACGAGCGTGCAAGGCCGCGTTGCAAAGTTTCGGCTTCTCCGCCAGTACCCATGCGCCCGCCGTGACCTCTTCGGTGTTCTCTTCGGAACAAGTCTCGCTGCGCAGTTAAGCAGCGGCAGAGCGGAGGCGAGAACGCAGTCCGGATTCCGCGTTTTCCATCCCAAGGCGACTGCTTTTTGTGTTGCGACCCAAGTCATGGTTCAAGCTCAACTCCCTTCAGAACTCGCTATGCCGGTGTCCATTGGTCGATTATGTGCACCATCACCAACGACGCCGTCGAGAGACTCCATAGTCTCGGGGATTATATTATCTCCGTCCAGAAATGTGGCTCGGCTGTATGCAGGTGGGCTTGGAGGTACGTCCTGATAGATCGGGGGCGCTTCATTGTCCCAGCTGATACCAATGCCTGCACGCTGCGTGAGGACGGTAGCGAAGTGCATCCGGAGTATTCGGCCCACGCCAGTGTGGGTCACGAGGGCCGGCTTGTTGACAGGGGCCCACTCCTGTGAGACTACCATTTCAACCATGAGCTGGTGCGTCACCTCGGTACCGTCACGGCTCTTAGTATCACACGCCGATTTAGCATGTTTGGCCAAGTTGTACTCGAGCTCAACTTCAACCATGCTGTCGGTAGGGCTCAAGTAGTTACTCTTCCAGCCCGAGAAGAGAGTCTTTTCACCAATTGCTCGGGTGTCGGTTCGAACAACACCCTTTTTCTGTTCGTCGTCTTGCTGATCTGCACTTTCGACCGGCTTGGGGGTATGTCGACCACAAGCCGGTGCGACCGTCTTAACCGTCTCTTCCAGTCGCCACGTGAGCTTCTTTAATTTCCAGTACTCCATGGTGTTGACCTTTGCGTTATGCTTTGCGATACCGTCCAGGCGGAGAGAGAGCGTGGAACTCCCGATTGGGTGGATCACATGGGGAAAGTGGGCGCTGGCCTTTATGTTTGTCGGCGGGAAAACGCGAACCGAATGGTGTGGCGTCTCAGACGTCGCTAAACTGCGCTTCACCTCGAGCACCTTTTCAAGGCGGACGGGGGTCAGGCATGTGCCGTTGCTCCTAGGGATGGCTTCGGCTTTGATCTCATAGGCAATCGACACTAGCGGACCATCCATGGTGGAAGGTAGATGGCCATCCAGGAGAACAGAAAATGGGAACGAGTGCTCGCCTGTAAGAAAGCACTTGTCAGCCAATCTTTCCAAGCCGGCAAATGAGGCGAACTTCTCTCAGATATGGAATGGAGAAGTTGTGGTAGGCCTACCTTTGGTCATTGTCAATGGCTGAGGGAGAAAGTTCCATGTTTTCAGATCGGTGTACTGGTTGGTGCACTCGTGACAATGGTGCACGAAGGGCTTCTTTTGCGTTATGTGGATATTTAACGTGGCATTGAACGACTCGATCTCGAGCCCCGCCTCTTTGACATTGAGAAACAGCTGGCCCGAGACAAGTGCGCCGGTACTGGTCTCTGCGTCGCCATACATAACGATTGGAGGAGACTCGAGCTTCCAATCTAGTGATACTTGCGCCGTTGCATGGCTTTCCTTTCCAGTGCGCCCAAAGTGCATCACCGGAAACGAGATTCTATGGTGGTGGGCGTTGTCGCGATCCTTCTGCGAGTCCGAAGAGAAACTGCTCGACCGGGACTCGCCCATGGTCAGACGCGGGGTATATGGAGGGGCATGCGAGTCGTCTGTGTCGTCGTCCAGGGACGATGCATATGAAAACACCTGCTCTCGGGTACGGGACTCTCTGCCGTCTCTGCTGGGTGAGTCTCGCCTCCTGGCAGTGCTTGCAGCCTTCTTTTTGGCGAGAATGGACACTTGGTTCTCGAGGGATTGGCTTGATGACCGGAAGAAGTTCACAACGCGGTGCGGCATCTTGCCCAGAGGTATGTACTTTGTACTCACACCCCTACCCAATTAGCGGGGCGGGCGGCGTATTGCCGGGCGGCTGCAGGTGAGGGTGCAAGTAAAACGGCCGGCGTCGGATGAGGTCAATAGAATGCAGCACCCTGTCGAAGAGCCAAGAAGTGTCGGCTGATGCCACTAGACCCAAGCAGATGCGCGCCACCTGTCGTCACAAGATCTGGGGATTCGGCAAGGCCTGAGATGGGGCGGATTTCTTGGCAGATGGGCGGCAGATTCAAGGTCGTTTCTGCGCACAGCTGTGTCCCAGGATTGCCAACCAGACCCAAGGCAATGACGTGCGTTTCGGCGACCCCAACGATCGAAGTCTCTTTTTTTCTCTTTTTCCTTTCCCCCCCCCGCGACGCCTGATGTTGTCTCGGTTGTGGTAGAAACTGAGCTTCCTCTTCGTGAAGGTAATCGGTGGCGGATGTTTTTGCCGTGAATTCCGCTAGCTGGACTTCTTACTCCGTAATTTAAGGTAAGGTGGGTTGGGAGCTGCTTCTTGGTTGATGATATCCCGGAAGAGGTGCGTTCAGAGAGGGAGAGATCCCAGTCAAAGTCCAGAGACCAAACAACAGCACAAAGGGAGGACAACAAAAAATCCAAGAGGCTCCCGGCGACTTAATGTATTCTCTATACGGATTACGAGCTTTTGCGGTTGGCAGCCATCAGTCTGGCGCAAGCAGGGAACCCGGCCTGTCAAAGTACTTGGATGTTTTCCATCAGGTAATTATGTGTCATGGTGGAGGAGGCCACCCCTGACCCACAAAGCAAACACCCCGGTACGTCTTGTCCGTTCTGCTCTGACCGGGCATATGCTGCTGTGTATGTATTGTCCAGTACACGCTGTGAACCGATACCACTCTTCCTTATTAGACCAGCAGGGTTGACCAGTTGCAGCAACATAGGCCAAGGTGGGCGTTCGGGCCTCCATTTTGGAAGCCGTAGACGAGGTGCGGTGCCCCGCTACTTGGGACTGCATAATACATACAGTACTGGCCCAGCCGTCGAGTTCTTAGCCCTGGCCCCGATGTTCAATCAGACTGGCAAGAATAGTGACGGCACCAAGACAAGAATAATAAACCCTCGGGCGTAGCATGGAGACTTACGGCAGTCAGCGCTTACTCAGTGGATTACTGCGCAGCATGCGGTGAACCATCGACTTACTGACCTAGTCTTGATGCCCGAGGTGAAGAGAAATACGCCCAATAACTCCCCGACTCAGGGTACGCACTCAGGTTTCCCGCAACCAAATGTTTGGTATTCTGATTGAACTAAAATAGAGGCAAGCTGATGGGGGATTCGAGGCCGATATGATCACCTAAGAGATACATCTGCGAGTGTGCAGTATGTACAGAGGTGGGGCGTGCATCCTCACCATACCTACGAAATAGGTACCTACATTCGATGTACGTCTAGACATCTTGGTTACAACACCACGTGGTATGGGATGAGTGGGCTTCTACAGGATGTTGAATCCCTAAATATTTTTTAACGGCTGACTTTGCAAGATATCAAAGGCGTCGTCTAAGATCTCATAGGTACCAAAGATTTTCGAAATAAACCCGTCCGGCTTAAGTGCCTCTCAATAACGTGCTGGGCACACGACGGTCAGGTCACATGGGGGCTTGAAAGAGTTCAGGTTCAGTGCCGTCTCCATCTTTTCCGCCAGTCAGCTGTCCACAGAAACTTGCAGCCCCGCCTTGAAAATTTGTAGAGGGCTGACGAGGTTGTGCGCTGTGGGCTTTTCTCCACACAGGTCTTGATCCAACAATCCAGCAACTTTTCGGGAGCAAGCTATTAAGCGAGGCTAGTCGCCGGCACGCCATGGTACATACCTACACACGTAGGAAGGTCGGCAGGCCAGGCTGGTGAGGTGAGCTGATCGGGTCCCAGAATTATGGTGGCTACGACTTTGTCGAGCATCCAGTTTGGCTTCCCCAATTTCACAAACAAGCTCTCCAAAGACACGACTCTCCATTCAGCCTGCAACCCCCCATTGGGTTCGCGTGGGAATAATTAAAGGATTAATTAGAAACACTCTTGCTCTATGGCATTAGCTAGGTGTCGGCGGAGATTTTCATCTGTCAGCCTTTGTTAAGACGGCACCAGTTGATCCGACAAACAGATGAACCAATGCCGCGATTTGGACATAGGCTGTCGCCATTCAGGACCATGCTTGGCCTTCCCCGCAACGACTTTGAGCGCCACGGAAAAGTGTAGCCAGGTAGTAACCTAAAATCGTGGCCTAATCCGATGGTACCAGGAGGTAGGAGGTACTGTACTGAGTAGGACGCCTTTCCAAAGAAACGATGTGGGTATGGAGGACATGTAATTTACGTTACTACGGCCCATCTGATCAATACCTATACACCTTAGGCCTCAATGAACTACAGTACCGTCTTCGTCGGTAAGTACGAGAGACGCCTCGGAGAAGCAGATTTTGACAGAGTGTGATGCAACGTTCTTCAGCTAGAGCCTCATGTGCGTGCCCTCTTCGTGTTGGTTGTTGTTAGCATTTCGTTACATAATCGCCAGACGCTGCCAGCCAAGCAAGCGGCATCCCAACAAGCACGCGGCCCCGAAACACGGACGTCTGATTTGATCGAAGGCTTCTATTTGTACGAGACAAATCATATAGCTCAACCAGAGCACGGGAAAAGAAAGTCAGTGACGTTGCAGGCTGCAGTTGAAGCTGCACATGCCGGCTCACTCAGCAGCTATTCCCCGGACACTGTAATCCACTGGTGCCGGATCTCACCCGTCAATAGCGACTGTGACAAAGACAAACATTAGACCAGAGTCGGGGTTGTCATGTTTCCACTTCTGCTCTCCGCGGATCGACTCTCCGATATGTATCCCTTGGCCCGCGTCGGAGCTGGCCGATTCGCCATAAAACTACCCGTGTGGAAGCCCCCGAAAAGAAAAAAAAAAGTAAAAGACGCTAGGGTCCGAGGTAGATCTGTCCGTGAAGCCTAGGTCCGCCCACGGCTGAGCTCTGGGTGCCATAAAAACTCCACTTGCTCTTTTCTTTGGCTGTAAGCAGCGGGTCCCATTGCAAGTGCCCTTGACTCGAGGAGTCAGTCTGCAGTTTCATATATTTATAAATAAATAAGTATTGTGCACTCAAGTACATACTTACCTTATCGTATTGTAAACGGAAGCTGTGGATCACCGTGAGAGATCTTGAATATTGTATCGAGGCGCATATGGCTGTTTCCGTTGGAAGACTACATCTAGAGCCAACCCGCGTAGTGGATACCGGACCTAGTAGACACTTTTTCTGTGTCGTCGCTAGGGTGCCCCTGTTCGCCTTCCCGCCCCATGAACGCGTAGCGTTGATCCGCACCATCCCCGACCCAGATATCAAGGGAACAGGTTCTGTATTGGGCGCGAACGGAAAGAAGTGGGGTTTGATACACAATGTCTATCCAAGCGCGGAAACAGAGCCTTGCTCCGTTTGTGGATTTGTTAGTATATTAGCTTCCAAGTCGAAGGGCCGGCGGCTAGAGGCGGCTCTATGGGCTCTGATTATTTGCTTCTGGTTTGTCGGTCATCTTGGAAGACGGAAACAGAAAAAAAACACCCCTCCGCTTGGGGTGGAGGCCAAGTGGAGGGCTTTTTCTACACGTGTAAAGTACACTACGTAAAACTAACTCGGCACTCGTCGGATTTGCCGCACTCGGGCCATATGAAATTTTGTTACCTTTCTCAGGAGCCAGTGTCCGTGCCCGGCCCCCGGAAATATCATATTACATATCGATAGACGCCCTAACTCACACTTGAGATAGTTTTCACTATGGGCCACACCCTAGCACAGTAGTGAAAATGAAGATTTGTTGAGTATAGAAATGGTACACGGCATCACCGTGGTTGTTCTTTGTAGGCAAAGCTTGGTAGGAAACTAAAAAAGTAAATAGATAAACATAGAAAGGGGCGTGAGGAAGGGCAGAGGGGAAGACTACTTGGTAAAGAGCGTTATCGTTGGAGTCCCCTACTTTAATGTATTTGTTGTAGGTTAAACCTAATCACAGGAACCAATGTGACATCCAGGTTTAATTCCTCGTATTACAGATATATGCAAGCAAACAACAGTACGGCTATTTTTGAGTACACCCCGAGTTCCTCTCTATCCCAATGGGGTATATTTACAGGGCACAGCCAAATATATAACCAGGAAATCAAATTTGCTGGCGTCTTAGCCCCTGCCACAATCTCCAAGGAAGCTTCCAGGTGCCCCGGACCTTAAATGGATCAAAGTTAGAGCTCTCTAGACGTTGTAAATAGTCCGCGGCAGGGATCGCCTCTAGTAACACGCCAAACCCTCGTCTAATATCAGTACTCGTGCTCTCCGGATCGTCTGGGGAGTATATGTGGTCCGTATCGCCTTCATGTTCATAGTCGTGCCCAGGCCCAGCCCCGGACTGCAAGTTCTTGAGCATTTCCCTGGCAGTGATCAGATGATCGTTGGCACGAGTAGCTACCTTGAAGATGGCGTCCTGCAGAAATTCCGCATCTGGGCCCCTACGAAAAACATCCTCTTCCTTCAGGCCTGCCTCAGCCATAACATCCAGTGGGAGCAAAAGGGCTGGGTTCCGCGTGTTGCCAACGCTGGCGCCGGCCGGACCTTGGACGGGTCGTGAAGGTGCCGCAAGAACAGGTATTCCCCGTAACGTGGCAATAATACCGCATGCCTTGCCAATGTGGCTCGCCAGATGGTCCAAATGTACAGACCGCAAAGGAATAGTACCAAGCGTCGTGTACATCAAGGTGGCGTACGTATTCTCGGCGTAATCCTCCAAGGCAGCCAAATCTGTAAAAGGCTTGTTTTCCATATGCTTTTCTCGTGTATTGATCAAGCGCAGCAGCCAAAACTTCAATGAGTTTGCACCGCTTTTTCCCACCCTGGACGTGAGGCTTGAGACGGCGCTGTGCAACAGGATTGAGATTGGCTCTCTAGGAGGGTTGCCGGCAAAGATCTTCTGCACCGTATCGCGCCAAAACTGTATGCGAAATTGGCCAATGGTCGGGCTAGAGACGGTCTCGGGCAATCGAGCAAGTTCGAGATTGAGTGTTCGTAGCGCATCGTAGGCGTCTCGCGCAGATCGCGGAACGAACTGGCGGGTCAAGTACGCCTCATAATCGCCATGCCTGTAGAGAATAGCATGTAAGAAAGAGCCTTGTCTGGGAGCATGCGCATTGAGTACGAACTTGAGCTGGTTCAGGCAATACTTCCGGGCCTGCTCGACATCTGCGTCGGTAACAATCCCGCGGCGAATTTCTCGCGCCCCGCGGGTTGCCCTCTTCAGGACATGAGCGGCCGCCCGATTGGAATACATGTGGGAGAAAAATGGACCTCTTAAAGCAACAACCTCATCTTCGTAGAAAATACATTATCGGAACGCCGCAAAACATTCGGTCGGCATTGGCACGGTGGGATAAAAGAACAAGGAAGGCGATCTTAGAGTAGCAGGGGGAAGCTCAAAAGGGCGGGGAGCTTCAAGGTGGTTACGGAAACCGGTATCGTAAAGCTTGCCTTATTTACAGTGGAGCGGGAAGCTCTTTAGGGGGTCCTCTCCCCAGCAACCCGCCTCGGCCTGGCGATGTTCTGTTCCCACAAGCCTGTGGGTCAGAGATGCCCGAGCGCTAAAGATGCCTAGACGGCTGAGATAATGCACGTTTCAACGCGTTCCGTTAATAGCTTGACGCCAAAATTCGCGGTCATCAGTCTACAGCCAAAACTAGCGAGTCTCCGACAATGAAACACTTCAACTGCACAGGTCAAAGAATATAGCCTCCCTCTGCCATCCCGCAGCCTTAATTCGGGTCCGAAGGAGTAATATATATCCTTGACTGACAGACACTCGAATTTCATGGCGAACGCCGGATCACAAGAACCTCCCTCCAAGAGGCGGCGTTTCTTTTCAGATGCAGACGAAGAGATCCATACGTCACTGCTAGTCCCTCTAAGCTTCTCGTCGCCGACTGTCCCGAGAGCGAGATTCTTCGAGAACGCAGTTGACCGACATGATCAACCAGGTCGAGCCATTGCTGCCTCTTCTCCCAGCGCATTGCCTGTTGCCAGGGCGCCCCTTTCCGAGCAAGATGTTGCCAGTTCCTTGAACCGACTAGCCTCTCCGCAAACCGCCGTGAGCGCACTCTCAGAATCCGCCTCGACGTCAACGCCATTTGATCAAACAACGTTTGAAAGCTTTGTTGGTGAAAAAATCGGAGCTGATGTTTTGGAAATTCTTGTCGAGACCTGTGGGAATGACATTGAAAGAGCTGTCAACATGTACCTCGACGGAACATGGAAGATAAAGAGAAAATTTCCAACTCTTCCAACGCCGAACCGCCTATCAGCTTCAATCGCAGTATCACGCCAACAAGGTAATCTGACTATACGGCCGCACGATTCTTTTCGCCCAGTCCCCGAGTCACGATACATAGGCGCGTTTGGAGTTGAGGGGTGGGCGACACGGAGCGGGCATAATCTGTTGAAGCACGGCGATGTTATCAAGATTGAGCGCCAGAAAATACAGCCTCCGAAAGCCCCCGCTACCAAAGGGCAAGCCAAACTGGGGGGCGCGCAGTCAACGCCACGCATGAGCTCGGCGGCGAGGAGGGTTGATGTGATCGTTCGCTTTACTGACGCCACCGGCCAAGAACTTGGGCGCCTGGCCAAAGATACTGCCAACTGGGTATCGACACTGATGGACCAACGAATATGCAAGTTTGAGGGCACATGCGTCTATGCCCCCGAGAGACTGCGGACCAACGACACCGTCTTCCTACAGCTCAAAGTCTCGCTATTAAGATCGGCTTTTTTTGGTCGAAAATTACAAACTGCCGACAACAGAACGACCGGTCTTTTTCAGGAAACCGAGACATCGGAAGAAAAAGAGCTCCGGCTGAGACAGGTGGCTCTCGTCAGACTGTTCCAGGAAATTGGTCTCGTTCCTTCGCGTGGGAACGCGGCAGCAGCAAAGGACCAGCGGCAAGGGCTTCTCACGGCGGCCGAGTTGGCCGAAAACAAGGCGAGGGAAAAAACGAAGTCTTCAGAAAAAGACAATCCCGAGTCTTCCCCGCACGAGGACGAGGACGAAGACGGCGAGGAGCTCGAGCAAGACCAATTGGATTCTCTTTACAAGAAGGCCCAGTCGTTCGACTTCAACACACCTGAAGCCGAGCCTGCTGAAACGTTTGCTATGACATTGCGTCGGTATCAGAAGCAATCGTTGCACTGGATGCTGGCCAAGGAAAAAGACGAGCGGAACGAAGACCGGGAATTGTCTATGCACCCATTGTGGGAGGAGTACGCCTGGCCAACCAAAGATTATAATGACAAGGAGCTTTCACAAGTGGCACATCACCCAACCTTCTACGTCAACCCCTATTCTGGCGATTTGTCGTTAGACTTTCCCCGTCAAGAGCAGCACTGTCTTGGAGGAGTTTTAGCGGATGAAATGGGTTTGGGGAAAACCATTCAAATGCTCAGTTTGGTCCACTCTCACAGATCACAAGCGGCTATTCGGGCTAAAGAATCTAGTTCCTCGGTCGGATCGGTCAACAATCTTCCACGCCTCCCGTCGGTTTCTTCAAGCGTTGGCGTCTCAGACGCTCCTTGCACGACCCTCGTCGTCGCTCCTATGTCTCTTCTAGCGCAATGGCAGAGTGAGACAGAGAACGCGTCAAAAGAAGGCACTCTCAAGTCCATGGTCTACTATGGAAGTGACAAGAATGCCGATTTGCTGACGTCATGCTGTGAAGCCAATGCTGCGAACGCTCCCGACCTGATAATCACGAGTTATGGTACTGTGCTCTCGGAATTCAGCCAGATAGCCTCGAAAAACCGTGACAGGGGCGGAAGCCGTGGAATCTTTGCGCTGAATTTCTTCCGCGTCATTCTTGACGAGGCACACAGCATCAAAAACCGGCAGTCAAAGACGGCAAGGGCTTGCTACGAGATTGCCGCAAAACACCGATGGGTGTTGACAGGAACGCCGATCGTAAACAAGCTTGAGGATCTCTTCAGTCTCGTCCGGTTCTTGAGAGTCGAGCCCTGGAATAACTTTTCTTTCTGGAGAACTTTCATCACAGTGCCGTTTGAGTCCAAAGATTTCATGCGGGCTTTAGACGTCGTTCAAACCGTCCTGGAACCGCTTGTTATGAGAAGAACCAAGGATATGAAGACCCCGGACGGACAGCCTTTGGTGGCGCTCCCGCCCAAGCGTATTGAGATAGTCAACATCGAGCTCTCTGAGACGGAACGTGCGGTCTACGATTACATATTTACCCGGGCAAAACGAACTTTCAATGCCAACGTCGAAGCCGGCACAGTCATGAAGGCATTCACAAGCATTTTTGCCCAGATTCTCCGTCTCCGCCAGTCGTGTTGTCATCCCATTCTTGTCCGAAACCAGGAGGTTGTGGCCGATGAAGAAGTAGCCAATGCCGCTGCTGACGCTGCTGCTGGGTTTGCGGATGATATGGACCTCTCTTCCCTAATCGAGCGTTTCACGGCTACGACAGATGATATAGCTGATTCGAATGCTTTTGGTGCGCATGTCTTGGGGCAAATTCGGGACGAGGCCGTCAACGAATGCCCCATTTGTGCCGAGGAGCCTATGATCGATCAGACTGTCACAGGCTGCTGGCATTCGGCCTGCAAAAATTGCCTTCTCCACTACATCAAGCACGAGACAGACCATCACAACGTTCCCCGGTGTTTCAACTGCCGGGAGGTCATCAACTCCCGCGATTTGTTTCAAGTCGTGCGTCATGACGACGACGACGACGACAAGCATAGGGGCTGTCTTGGGAAGGAGATTCGCATCAGTCTTCAACGTCTCGGGACCAGTGATTCTTCAGCAAAGGTTGTTTCTCTCATTGAGCGCCTGCGCGACCTGCGAAGAGAAAGCCCGACGATGAAGTCTGTCGTTTTCAGCCAGTTCACCTCTTTCCTTTCGCTTATTGAGCCTGCACTGGCTCGGGCAAAGATGCATTTCTTGCGGCTGGATGGGTCAATGGCCCAGAAAGCGCGCGCAGCGGTGCTCAACGAGTTCAGAGAGTCCAAGAAGTTCACCATCCTGTTAATCAGCCTCAAGGCCGGCGGCGTTGGGCTAAACCTAACCAGTGCAAAGAGAGTGTTCATGATGGATCCATGGTGGAGCTTTGCGATCGAGGCACAGGCTATCGATCGCGTCCACCGGATGGGCCAAGAAGACGAAGTGAAGGTGTATCGCTTTATCGTAAAGGACAGTGTCGAGGAGAGAATGCTAAAGATACAAGACAGGAAGAAGTTCATGTGAGTATTATTCTGCTCTATACCTAGAATTTCTTCCTTCGCGACTGTATTGGGTAGTGATTTGGCTAACACTTTCTACTAGTGCAACGTCTCTCGGCATGATGTCAGACGAAGAGAAGAAGTTGCAGAGGATTGAGGATATTAGAGATCTACTTAGCTAAGCCAGACAAGCCATGCATATGATACATGTATCGTTGTTGAGCTTGTATGGCAATGGGCAGTGTGTTGTTTGCTGGGCGGGCCACCAGCATGTCAGTAGCCCAGGTCACTTCCAAGTTGTTCGACTGTAGGTCTTGCAGTAACCATTCAGATCATTGCCACCAGCCAACCGGCCAACCGGCCAATGCCGCTGCCCCCCGTTCACCTGGTCTTGTGAGTAAACAGATCGGCCCAAGCCTAGCCATCTTCCGCTTAGGTGCTAGCCCTTTGTTGCCAGACTAGCCTGGTAATTTTGGTGCCGTATCTCCTAGGGTTCTCATCTACGAGACCTTGGTGTCGCCGTGTTTGTACCCGTAACGCGCATAGATCGTCTTAAATTGGTGCGCCGCTCGTACCTGTCTTTATAACTAGACTGAAGCCGGATCTGTCTTGATCGCGCATGGTGATACTTGAACGCTGCCCGAAAAGAGGGCGAATATGGAGCTACGGAGTAGTTTCTATATTAATTATTAGTACAGGTTGGCTCGGTGAGGAACCTAACAGCAGGGCCATGTGGGGTTGTGATTCCGCTACGTTCATCATATCTCACCACGCTCGGGTAAGGTCATCATATCCAGGGACTTGAGTCCAGTGGCCCAGGTGTGGCCTTGGCAAGGTGATTTATTCTGTGAACAACTCCCTTCTCTAACAGGTTTATGAGGGGTTCGATGTGCTCGTGTGGTAAACGAGTCCCTCCCCCTCCCGTCCGGGGAATGTAAACAAAGAGGCGGTATCGGAGCCTCAATATCAAATCTGATTAGTTGTAAACGGGCCATATTGAGGATTATTTGGTTTCCTGCAGCCCTTCGTCTTTGCCAGGGTCCTAGAGGTAAAGTTCGATGGTTCGGTAGATGGGCTGGTTGGCGCAGTGGTCAATGAAAGTCTGGAGTCTACGGTGATATTGCACGAGACTAGACGAGTCAGTGGTGGATGGACATTTCCACATGATTCCTAAAGTCCTCGGAGATGACACAGGCCGTCAAGACGACGGTTTGTGTTGCTAGTTTAGTCTAGCCTGTAAATGTTAACTCGTCCAAACACCATGAGCTCCAGTTCTAGGTCATATAAACCGCTCCCAGTCACAGCTACTCGTACGTTTGATCCTACCCGTTCTGCAGTTCTCGAACCAACCAACCACACTCTTTTCAACCAGTCACTCATTTCAGCCACTCGTTTACGGTTCTCTCGTTATACGCCAAACGCATCTCAAACAGCCAACTTTTGAGGGGGATAACCGCTCGTTTCAGTCATCATTTCAGTATTAATTCCATCTTCAATCGCCAAAATGAAGACAGCCAGCATCCCCCTCGTCGCCTTCTTCGTCGGCGCTCTTGCCTGTCCTCGTGCGCTGAAACATGCGCCGGCAGAGTTCAAATTCCACCTTGCCACAAACATCAACGCCCGGGACGACAAAGCGCAGTATCACGGAGACATGACCTATTATGAGGTCGGCGTGGGCGCCTGTGGACACGATGACAGCGGGCAGGGAAGCGTTCAAAATATTGTGGCCGTGTCGGCGGCTCTCATGGGAGAGGGGCCCAGCACAAACATGTGCAACCGCAAGATCTCTATCAAGGGAGACAACGGAAAGGAAGTCACGGCCGTCATCCGTGACAAGTGCCCCTCATGCGACGAGGGCGCGCTCGACGTCAGTGAGAAGGTCTTTAAGGATGTTGTCGGCGATCTCGGTGTCGGCAGGGCTAAGGTATCGTGGACTGTTATTTAGTTTTGGTGGAGCTCGGAGGACTCGGTGCCTTCAGATTCAACACAGTTACCCATTACACCTGTGCCATGGTGTTCAGGCAACCTCTATTCTTGCTCTTCCATCCAAATGTAATTAATTTTATAGTTTTATCCCAGCCTACTGTCAAGCACTATATTCCCTTTTATTACCAATTACACGCCCTAATTACCAACCCAGAATCAAGAATATGGAGGTGGTCCTATAGGCACCGGAGTAGAAAGTGAAGTCTATCAAGTCTCCCAACGCACATCATTTGGATGCCCACACTCAGAATTGAACCTAGAATCTCCCCATTACGAGTGGGAAGCCGTGGCCATTTAGCCATGCGGGTCTTTGAGTGCTATAGACCTAGGCTGAAGACCTGTAGATCCTACGCCATAAGGCAACTATACCCAACGAAGGATGGTTATGCAACTTTAGGAAGAAACGTATAAATTTTAATAAATGATTATTAGATACTTAGACCTAATTAATTACCTAATAAGCTACACGAATAGGCGGAACGAGGAAAACAAGAAAAATATGATTATCCACAGATTGGGATGTTGTTCTCAGCTCTATGTTGTCCCTGACTAGACAACCTGCCTGTCATCTGCTGTTCGCGATGAACTCGGCCTGCTCCTGTCAACATCCTCATCACCTGTTTCCACGCCCAAAGGCCCGATAGCGGTACCTATGTCCTTGCCTAGTGTGTATGGCCGAAGAAAGAGACCGGCAACGAGACTCGCAACCGCAAAGCTGGTATACTGAGACGCAGTTGGAAGAATCAGTATCAACCGGAAGTTAGAAAGGGGCAATAAAAGGACCGTGTAGATCAAACTTCGGGGAGCGTAGCCTACCAAAATCCACACCGTCCGCAAAGCTCTTGTCAGGGCTTCTCTTGCAATGGCCCGCTGGTCAGGCGGGAGAGAGCTAACAGCTTCAACGTGCGTGGCGGCCTCTCCCCCCCCCAAAAGACCCAAGGCATCCGCCCCAAGAGCAGAAATCAGATCCCTGGCCTCGTCAGCCATCCGGTTCTGAAAGGTAACGCCACCCACTATTATGGAAATAGCCGAGGAGAGTGAGCGAATAAAGCCAAATGTCGACGTTGCTGTGGCAATGTCGCGAGGCTCAGAGATGGCCTGGACAGCGAGAAGAGGCGGCTCAAAGAGCATGCCCACCCCGATGCCAGCTACCAGCTGGGGGATAATGATCCGAGGCCAGTTGGTTGTAGCCTCGAGAAGAAGAAACAAGCCAGTTCCCAGAGCAGTCAGCGTGATACCAATGTAGACAAGAACCATGTACTTGCCGGTCCGCTGGATGAACAGGCCTGTGGACGCCCCCGAGAGACTGATCGAGACGATGAAAGGAATGAGATGAACACCCGACAACAGCGGGCCAACACCCAAGACGGCCTGGAAATAGAGGGGGAGGTAGAATGCGGCACCCAGGAATACAAAACCGTGGCAGAAACACATGGTATAAGCCGCCACATTGGAGGGCCGACGAAAAAGGCGGAGAGGCACGACGGGTTGAACTGCCACCTTCCACTCGTTGAGGACGAACAGCACGCCCACCAATACTCCAAAAACAATCAAACAGACCACAACGGCCGAGCCCCAGGGATACGCAACGCCGCCAAAGTCTAATCCCACGAGAAACATGGCAGTGCTCCCGATGATGAGGAGACTTCCCGTCCAGTCGATGGCCCGGAGTCCATCGCGAACTGGCCGCTTGGGACTCTTCAGCCGAAGCGTGAAGAACAGAAGAATGAAGACGATTCCGGAGATGGGGACTGGTGAATTGTCAGCAAAGTAGGGTTGTTAGTCTAGATATGAGAGAGGGGGATGGGGGGGATATATGAGAATAACACGTACGATTGATCCAAAAGCACCATCTCCAGCTAGAATGTAGCCAAGCAGGTGTCAGAGAGAAATACCTAGACCATGGAAAGCGAAGGGGAAGGACGACGGAGGGTCACGACTGCACTGCCCGGTAATAATTACTCACTTCAGCTGCTGTGCAAAGACGCCACCCAAGACAGGGCCTACCGCGCCGGCCAGGGCCCAGACAAAGTTGGTGAGACCAAGGTACAGGCCGCGGTCTCGGAGCGAGAACAGGTCGCTCACGCAGATGTTGACCAAGGTGGTGAGCCCGGCGGCGCCGAGGCCCTGGACAGCACGGCCAGCAATGACGGTAGCGAACGAGGAGCTAAGGGCACAGATGAGACTGCCGGCGAAGAAGATGGCGACGGCGGCGAGCAGGATAGGCCGGCGGCCCCAGATGTCGGAGAGGCCGCCCCACGAGGGCGTGCTTGCCGTGTTGGTCAGGATGAAGGCGCTCCCGATCCATTGGTACCCTGAGGGGCTGGCCAGGTCGCCGGCGATGGTGGCCGTGGCTGTTGCGATGATGGTGATGTCGAGCGCTGCCACAAAGACGCTTGCGCAGAGCGACGCCATGATGACGGCCATCTGGAGACGCGTGTACGTGTACCTTGTGGTTCCCGCTCCCGCTCCTGCCCCGGGAGTACCGTCCACTTCGACGGCTCCTTCTCCCTGGCTAGCCTCGAGGGGATCTGCGAGCACTACTGCTGCCTTGGTCTCTTGGTTGATTTGCACGGGATCCGAAAGGCCTAGAGCAATTTCCGATGCTCCATGAGAGGTTCCCATGACGAATCAATGCGGACCGTCGACTAGTTAGTGAGGTGCCTAGGTGGGTAGGCTTTTCCCGGAGGCAGGATGTTGATCTCGGGCTGTTTCGTGATAATAATAAAGAGATAATACCGGAAGGGAACGGCTTCCTGGCTTTCGACTAGGCAGTCTGCCAATTAATTATATAAGCATACCTCCTGGGTCTTTTCTCACCAGATCATGCCTCCAGTGTCATAGATAAACAATTAGTTGCGGGCATCTTTCCCAGTAGGTCCAAGGAGAATGAATTCGAGTTCTGCTCACATCACTGTGTTGGCCAATTTATCAAACGACGCTCCCCGGTCCTCCGCTTCTGACCAATCAGAGCACCGGAGTCCGGGCTTAGCAGGAACCGAGACATCTAGGAACGAGCACACCTCTTAGGTAATCTCAAGTTCACATTATAAACAATTAATTGCACAGCCGTTATTAAAGCAATAAGTAGTTAACTACTGTTGACTGTTTACTTACCTTCGTTAATTATTACCCTGGTCAGCAGGCCAGTACCCAGCCCCGGCCCATTCTAATCGACGACGGTGACTTTCCCAAGTGGTCTCTTGGTGTGTAGCCCACTTTTGGCCCTGCAAAAGAATTCGGCGGGGTTTCATTTGGCCCCATGCCTATGTAGGTACCTAGGTAGTCAGCACTAAGTATGTATGTGACCTAGTTCTAGCAAATTACACGTGTATCCGTACTGGCTGGCAATCGGATACGGTGAGGGCGGCCGGTGGCATCCGTAGTTGGTGCTGTCTTTCGCAACCGGACCGAATCAAGTCTGCCTTCGTTGGTGCCATTGACGCGGGCATGCATCCACCGTTCCACCCAGACGACCCGGCAGCCAAACATAGCCACCGTTGCTATAGGTTCTTCACAGCGTCACACGTCCCGAGCACTCCGCCCTTGGCTCAAGCTTAGACTTGGACTGAAGCTCACTTGGTAGTCCGTCCAGTTTTTGCCCTATTTAAGAGGTTGGCTCTTGCTTAAAAAAATTTTTTTTTTGGCGCAGCTCACCAGTTTGCACTGCCGCACTGCGTAGTCTTAGTCTTTGGTCTCGTATCATCATCAACATCTGCCTCACCCCAGCTTCATTCACCAATTACCCAACACCACACCGTTCAACATTCGCCGCTTAATTACACGGCCCCCCCTCTCAAGTTACCGTGACCGTTCACGCACCGCACTCTCGCTGCCATGTCTCTCCGCGAGCAGATGGTCCAGGTGGCCAGGGCGTGGATAAAAGCACACAACGACCGTAGCCCCGACGCCATCAGGGCACTCGCAGCTGACGACTTCGTCGCTCACTTCTTCCCGGCCTCACTGCCGGCCCAGGGCGACAAAGACCGCGAAGGCTACGTGTAATTTCAGGCCCAGGCGTTCCCCCTGTTTGCTACCTACCACGCTGCCGAGGTCGACATGATCGTCGACGAGTCTCAGCGCAAGGTCGTTATCTACCTCGACTCGCGGGGCACTGCCGCAGTGCCTGGCGTGATCGACCTGTACAAGAACCAGTACGTCCACAAGATCACCCTGACTGACGACGTCAAGCTGGTCAAGGTCTTCGACTCCTTTATCGACAGCCAGGCAATGATGGCCTTTATGGGCAAGGTCTTTGCAGCCACGGGCGTTGCGCCCGAGGGCAAGTAATTAAGCACGGGGACATCTTTCAAGACATGTACTGCACACGGCGGTGCAAATCTACAAGTACCAGTAGGATGACGGGGGCTAGGAGGTCGTCTTGCATTAGATGTTTATACTTGACGTCTCAAACAGGAACACGGTGTTGACATATGGAGCCAAAAGCCCCGGAGGATAATTAGATAGCAGTTCCAACTGATGGCTTGAAATGCAAATGTACCGTGTCGCTCGGCTGTTTAATTGACTTCTATAGTAGCCTAATAGTTTGGCTTTTGAGCCCTTGAAAATGCTTTGGCGGCAAGAGCCGCCCGAGCTACATTCAAAGCATGGTCTTCGTCCTAGGTAGCTGGAAAGTAATTAATATTCGCTCCGTGGCGTAGCACTCCCACTAATTTCGGAGCAACAACAAAACCACTTGCCGGGGTAAATGATGTCGTTTCACCCGGGCAGGGAAATTAATCGGCTACTATATGGCTGATGATGTCGACCTGAGATAGCTTGAGTCGCTGGCGACAGTGATAAGGCTACCAACCAACCCGGAGGTCTACCATCCAATGCAAGAGTAGAAGACGGACGAGGACAAATAGGATGGACTGGAATTTCAAACCGAATATCAAGCTATCTAAAGGAGTGTATCGCCCGAACTTCTAGATTACGCCTTATTTTGGCAGTGTGCAAGTGAGATGGCAGATTCAAAACGAGTGATAAATCTGTGGGGGAAACAATGCTAGGACTCGGCCGAGAGAATGCTACCACAACCAGAAGATGGCATACTCAAACATTCAAACGCCCCTTCAACGACCCGTTTGTTCGGTCCTTTGCAACTGAACAAACAATGGACGACTGGCTAGACAGCTTTGGGTCCGGAATTGGGTGTGTGCATTGAATACCCTATTAGAGGGGGCAAGATCCATCATTGGGATCGCCACTGAGAAGAAGTTAGCGGGAAGCACGCGCCGAGAAATTGGTCGATACGAGGGGCAGGAGGGTAGGAGAAAAGACAAGCCTGGGAAAAAGATAAAGCAGATATTGTTCAAAGCATAGGCAAGGTAGGTAGTCTGCACTCACACAAAGCGGAATGTGCCATCGTTGCTGTCGCCACCATTCTTGCATCCGCGAATCTCCCTCCCCAGGCCTTCGTTACAATTGTTGGTCTGGAGGGTCTGCGTGGTGGATGCAATGTTTTGGACCAGGAACTCAAACTTTGTTTTGCCATCGGCGGCGTTCTCACATACTCTCTTAGTTTCGCCGGGCGCGAAGGTGACACTGCCAATCTTGTTGCAAGCGTCGCTAGCCTTGCCAACTGCCACGGCTATGTCGCCCCAGAGATTGCCGCCGGAGAAGCAATCAGCATTGACGGTTGCGGTGAAGCCAAACGCGAGGACTGAAGCAATAGTGGCTGTCTTCATTTTGTTCTTGGGTTGTGTTGTTTCCTTGTCTGAGGTGACGACGGTCTTGTGTCTTTGAGTGTGTGCTGTGGTGTTATACTACGAGGCAGTTGCTGCTGATAACGACAGGAAAGATAGTATCAGGATGGGAACTACGTGCAATTATATAGAAGATGATGCATACTGTAGGATCATCTTGGAATGTTTCCGTGATGGGCTAACTACTGGTCTTGATGGTTGTGGCTGCCACGGTCACTGAAATGGTATGAATGCGAAACGAAACACTGGCTCGGACAGAAATGGGGGGCCGCTTAATAACTCAAACCAACCGAACCGAGCACCGCTAGCTGTGATCACCACCTAGACACACCGTGGTGAACATCGGCGAGCAACGGGGCAATGTTGGGCGCCCTTCTAGGTTCCTCATTTAGCGCTGGTTGGGGCCTACTGTTGACCGATTCTGGCGCACGGCTTAGTCCACAAGGCCGACCTGCGCGCAGTCGAAACACCTGAGTGGGTTGATTGGGGGTGAAAGAAGACCCCGAAACAGTAGAACGCGGCACGGAGCGGAGTTGCCAAGGAACTAAGTCTAAGGCTAGGTCCGAGAAGACCTCGGACTTTCCGGGGCCGCTGTGGGGCTTGATTATTCTTATCCGTTCAAAGCGAGCCCAACTCCGATCACTTGTTGCGGCACGGCCGAACTGTTGGGGCTCGTAATCAAGGTTGGAAAATGCGATGTTGTCGCGGCATGGCCTAGTAAGGTGGTGGTTAGATTGATGTCACGAATCCCTGAAGAAAGCACGGATAAGGGTAGGGCCCACCCGGTTCGAGTGCAACCAATTAGGAGAGTCCCCGCGACCCGGGACAGGACTCCGGGACGCTCCGTCTCCGTATTCTGTGTTCGGGGCTCGGGACTTGGTGAGAAATCAAGACCCTAATTGGCTCACTATGAATTTTTTTCCTCTCATGTAAGGAAAAGGACACTCACCTCGCCAACCACCTGTCAACGCGCACGCGTTGACCGTCTGGCACCAACGGGCCAGATCACTGCCGGCTGGCATGAGCCACTAAGCCCATACCGGGCGCCTTGTGTCACATGCACGTTCGGGACCGAGCCCCTGAGCATGTATATAAACAATGGCCCTCGACCTCTCCTTTGCGAGGGCTAGGTTGAAGTCTTACGCCAATACCAGTCATTGCTCACCTTCTGTTGTCTTCATTGTGACCACCTTGATCAAGCGTACCTACCCTCTCTTACATCGCAGGCTTTTTGTGGGAGCGGGGCAGCGCACGGGCCCACACCGCTTTTTGGGTGCCAAGACCTGCATTCCCGATTGGGGCTAGTGCGGGGTCAGCTGCATGGAGTCTACGGTGGTGGCCGTGACATTACCCCCCTTTACAAAAAAGGCTCGTATTACAAACCACTCGACTGTTAGGGTCGTCTGTCTGTAAGGGAGCACGGGCTCTACAGAAAGCTGGGGTTTGGTAATTATGAAGATAGAACAAAGGGCAAGCTCCTATCGCACGGGTAATACAGTCAAATTAGAATGCCACTCAAAGTGTATGAGTGCAGTGAATGTGTATTGCTTGCTTGAGAGATCAAGCAAGAGCTATCTAGAACCGTGGGCACGGTTGTTGTATATATCTATCTACTGGACCAATAACAATGGTCCCACTGTCCCGTGGTCCCGTGTCCGGGACGCCGGTCCTCCGGGGCTGTCCCGTGTCCCCGGGCCCAAGTGCTCGGGACCCTGAGACACCTCTGATTGGTCTACACCAAACAGGGAGTGCCCCACCTTCACGCATTTACGCAGAGATTCGAACAAGAGACTCTCGATAGCCTACCACCCGCAAACCGACGGATAGTCGGAACGAACGCACCAGAGCCTACAGTATTACTTGAGGTGCTTCACAGACGAAGAAGTATAGTAGTAGGCGCCATTACTCCATAAGGCAGAGTTCGCGTATAACAATAGTATACACGTAACCATCGGGGTAAGCCCATTCGAGGCCTTATACGGTGTTACGAATCCCTGCGTAAATGCGTGAAGGTGGGGCACTCCCTGTTTGGTGTGGACCAATCAGAGGTGTCCCAGGGTCCCGAGCACTTGGGCCCGGGGACACGGGACAGCCCCGGAGGACCGGCGTCCCGGACACGGGACCACGGGACAGTGGGACCATTGTTATTGGTCCAGTAGATAGATATATACAACAACCGTGCCCACGGTTCTAGATAGCTCTTGCTTGATCTCTCAAGCAAGCAATACACATTCACTGCACTCATACACTTTGAGTGGCATTCTAATTTGACTGTATTACCCGTGCGATAGGAGCTTGCCCTTTGTTCTATCTTCATAATTACCAAACCCCAGCTTTCTGTAGAGCCCGTGCTCCTTTACAGACAGACCACCCTAACAGTCGAGTGGTTTGTAATACGTTGCTTGCTTCTCCCTTTGGTACTGATTGAACAGAGTGCTCAACGCACACCGACAACCTGGCTACACCACGGACAGAGGATCCGGTCGGTACCCAGCCAGAAGAAGAGAACCCTGTGGAGTCCAGCGAGGACGACTTGGTCAGCGATTCCAGTAGTGAAGCCGGATCGGCACTACCGGAAGATACGCACCTCAGAGACGCAGACGAGGAACCGGAAACCCTCAGTGAAGGATCAGTTACCCGGCTCGCTCAACAACTGGAATCCCTTGCGTTAGAGGAAGACACCATGGCGACCCAAGGAGGATCGGCACCAACTGCCAACGAGCTAGCCCTTGAGGCTGAGCTGCGAACATCCAACGCGCGAATCGCAGTCCTGGAGCAGGCGCAAGCCCAGGTCACGGGGCCAAGGATCAAGAAGGCTAGGATTCCCATGCCACCCCGTTACGCAGGAGACCCGGAGAAGTTCGACTCGTGGGGAACGCAAGTCATCGCGTACATCGGCTACTACGTAGCCGAATTCCCGGACAGACTGGACCGCATTACGTTCATCGGAGCACTACTGGACGACAAAGCCGCAACTTGGTTTAAGCCTTACCATAAGGCGCTTACCCAGGCCGACAAGGATCGGGACCCCACGATCAGGAAGATCATGGCCGACGGGCACCGAGCAGTGCTTAAGGAGATGGCGAAGTTCTTTGAGGACCACCAACGACTACTCAAGACGGTAGAACGAGTCGATCGTTTACGCCAGACGCGTTCAGTTGCGGAATACGCGGTAGACTTCCAGACCCTCATGCTACGACTCAACTAGACCTTGCAGAGCCAGCAAAAGGCATTCTACAAAGGACTCAAGGACCACGTGAAAGATGAACTCTATAAGGAAGAACGACCCAATACTCTGGATGAGTATATCAGAGAGGCAATCGCCGTTGACGAGCGATACTTCCAGCGGCAGAGAGAAAAGCGCCAGGACAACGAGAGCGGGAAAGGTAACCGCTACAACAAGCCTAACGACAAAAAGAAGAGGCACACGCCAAGCACCTCGTACGGCACTCACCCAGGACCAATGGATGAGAGCGTCGGCGCACTCTCTCAGACACAGCCCAGGAACCAGGGCCAGGGACAGCGCCCACCACGCGACAAGAAGAACGACACTTGCAACAACTGTGGCAAGACAGGCCACTGGGCTAGAGATTGCCGACAGCCCAAGAAACAGGGACAAGGAAGACCTCCGAACGACAGGAGGGCACGCTTCAACGATTCCCAGGCCATTAGAATAGTACTAGAAGACGTCGACGATTCTCAGACCATTAGAATGGTGCTAGAAGATATCGACGAGGAAGAGAGTCCACCGGACTACGGAACCGCGGCACTTGCCTACGATCTCGCGGAAGCCTGGGGACTGGAAGTCCCGCAGATCCCGGAGTCGCCCGAAGGAAGGAGTGACCGCGAAGCTGGACCGGAAGACGAACCGGAAGACGAAGAGAGCCCTGACCATTGGCCCTTCAGCTCAGCCGCCGAAGAAAGACTGGCCGGTCAAGCGGCTACTCGACAAGAGATCAAGGACATCAGGTACTTTCTCGGAAGACTGAAGGAAAGACAGGACCAGATGATCGCTCTGATCGACAGCGGCACTCAGTCGTCCCAGGGACGACAGCTCGCCTTTGATGAGCTAGCTAGACTCACCCTTCAGAGGACCAAGCTCTTGGAACAGCTCAACACCGAAGCTGAAGAGTTTGAGGACGAACCAGCACCGCCTGAAAGCTGGATCAATCCAGAAGAGCGAGATGAGATCTGGCGTACCCAGAGGCCCATGGAAGACACCAAGATCGAAAGGGCTTTTCTAGACCTCGCCAAGATTGCCGAGATCGAAGAAGAGGAGGATGGGGAACCCAGAGACGCACATCAGCTACACCATACGCATCCTGAGCACAAGGAGGTAGATTGGGCGAGTTGCGTTTATGATACTTGCCGGGCCCATCTTTCGTCGAAATGGCGGTACAACTACTTCCTAATCAGGGAATCGGGACAGGCGATTCCCAGGGTATATCGACATGTACCCACCTGGCATACAAGGGTCGGTACGGCTACGGAAGACCATCAGGGGAGGCGGAGATCGTGATCGAACCCCTCTCGCCTAAACCTTGCCGAGAAGGCAAAACCGACTGGAGGACTTGTCGACAGCCAGGCTGCCAAGTCTACCAGAGGCAGAAGCTTGAGGACTGGCACAGAAAGAAGACCCAGCACCTGATCCACTCCAGAAACAGGAGGATCAACAGGGCGCACCGTTCGTGGCCTTCGGTTGAATACCGCCTGGGGGCAGAGACGATGAGGAGGATCGAGCTAGAAGAATCCACCTATCGAAGCCACGAAGAACGGCTCGTTGGGTTCCTCCATCGTCAGCACGAAGAGCGTTTGGGAAACGACTTGCGGGCCTCCAGCAGGCCCGAAGGAAGCGAGTAAAACCCACGCTTCAACGGACCGACACCGAAGATTGGAGGCATCTTACGGTCGGGTCCTCAGAAAGCCCTCAACAACAGCCTTACCCGGATGAACAGGTCATCGGTAGGGTAGAGGTAGACGCT